TTGCTTGATACAGCTCTGTCGTGGTCTACCCCTTCCTCTCTTTCCATCTATTTTTCCTTCTATAATGTTATTAATTAGTTCGTCGTGTCGTATCAAGTGCCCCAATATTTTCCCCGCCTATTCTCAATAATATCTATAATCTGTCTCTTTTCTTTAACCCTTTCAAGACCCAGTTAATAATATAAATAATGTATAGTAAATACGAAAGTTTAAAAATAACTATAATAATATAGTAACCTAAAGTATAGGATTTTTTCTATTTAGAGAGCAGGGTTTCACCTAATATAGTAAGGATAAATGTAACATTGTATTGTACAATAAATAAATAAACAATTAAATAAATAATACTCACGAAGCGCCATCTAGACCCAAGTTACGCTATCTAAAGATTATGTTAAAGTACATAAAAATACGTTTTTTTTTTAAATATACATATTATACATAGAATATACCAGACCGATATAAACAATCATACTCATGAATACAAATGTTTTGGCCATGCGAGTAATCGAACCTGCGACCATTGGTAGTAAGACGGCTTGTGTGTGTGTCTGAAGATAGTGCGTATTGTGACTTATATATGAAATTTTGTAAACTTATGGAGGAATGTAGAATGCTAATATTTTTTTTAATCATTATTACATAGTATAAAACAAAGTCGCTGTCGCTGCCTGTCCGTCCCTATGTAAGTTTAAATCTTTAAAACTACGCAACGGATTTTGACGCGGTTTTTTTAATAGATAGAGTGATTCAAGAGGAAGGTTTAAGGTATAATACATGTACAGTCGTTGATGATTTTGATTTTCTTTCGGGGTGAACTAGGAACGTTTAATGTATAAAAATATACATGAAATCAATAAAGGTGGCAGTTATATATACATATATATGTTTGTTTAAATGTAATAGTGCTTCAAATATATTTTTGTATTTTTATTATTTTGGCAGATTTTCGACCATTCGGTAACGCATGGTGTTAAGAGCAAAATTGAAAATTTATATAAATCATTTTTTATATAAATAAACATTAATATGTCAAAATTAATAGTTTTTTTTTATATTATAATTTTTATATTTTATCCCTATGTCCGTCCGTATAATTATTATTATTAAACATAAATATCTAGGTATTAATTAATTAAAGAGTAGTGTGTTTACTATTATATATTATCCTTGTAGCAAGTTCTAGTATGTTATCTGTAAAAAATATAAACAGGAAAAATGTTATTGTTTGTTTGTAATGCACCCACATCCGTTTAAGTTTATAAAACGTTATTTTTAAATAACTGTAATTTTATAATAAACGATGTAGGTGCGATTACAAACAAACAATAACATTTTTCCTGTTTATAGATAACATACTAGAACTTGCTACAAGGTGTAATATATTATATATAACACACTACTCTTTAATTAATTAATACCTAGATATTTATGTTTAATAATAATAATAACTACGGACGGTAGGGAAAACTTATAAAAATTATAATATAAATAAAATATTAATTTTGACATATTAATGTCTTACTTATGAATAAATGATTTTTAAATTTTGAATTTTACATCTAGTATATAAATTATCAGTAAATTTAATAATAAAATACAAAATATTTTGAACCAGGCAACAATAATTAAACAAACAATATGGTGCAATTATATATCTTAAAATTAATGTATTTTTTAAAATATGATATATTTATACTATTACATTTATAACACTATATATATGTATATATTAAAAAAACCGCGTCAAAATCCGTTGCGTAGTTTTAAAGATTTAAGTATATGTACGGATACAGCGACAAACTTTGTTTTATACTATGTAATAATGATTAAAAAAAATATTAGCATTCTACATTCCTCCATAAGCCATCAATATTGACAACCATTGTATTGACATATTCATATAACACAATTAGACATTAAGACAAATATACATATATATATATATACAGCAATCACTCTATATATTGATAAAATTTTCATTAAAATCGTTGCGTAGTTAAAAAGATCTAAGCGTACAGACAGCGGCAGCGACTGCATTTTATACTATGTAAATATATTAATGTTATACATGGAAAAAATCTGTTTGTCTATATGGTACCACTTCACCACTAAACCGTTGAATGAACTTTAGTGAAAATATGACATAAAAAATGATATCATAAAAAGTGGACGAAGTAACGAGAAACAGTTAGTCTCAAATAACCCAAATAATTATAACCCGATAACTATAAATAAGTTATATTTATATAAGTTTACAATCATAAAAATAATAAAGCGTCGACTTATATGACTTTACACACTTGATAACGCAAGTTCAAGATCATAATAATATTATTAATGCAATAAAAATTGCATGCTTATAAAAAAATTTAGATAAGTAATAAATATTTTGGTACTTTATTTGTATACATCTCAGTGGATCGAAGGAGATGCTTGATGATGAAGAGTATAAAGTATCACTACTTTATCAGCAGGGTATCATAAAACTTGCTTACGTATAAAAAATATTAGATGAGTAATAAATATATTTTTTTGGTAATTGATTTGTATACATCTCAGTGGATCGAAGGAGATGCTTGATGATGAAGAGTATAAAGTATTACTATAACTTTTATCATCAGGGTGTCATAAGACTTGCATGCTTATCAAAAATTATTATATAAGTAATGAATATATTTTTTTGGTAATTAATTTGTATACATCTCAGTGGATCGAGGGAGATGATTGATGATGAAGAGTATACAATATCACCACTTTTATCATCAGGGTGTCGTAAAACTTGCATGCTTATCAAAAAATATTATATAAGTAATGAATATTATTTTTTGGTAATTAATGTGTGTACATCTCAGTGGATGGAGGGAGATGATTGATGATGAAGAGTATAAAGTATCTGTAAGCGTAAATGTAAATAAAATCCAATTGTCTAAAAGTCTTTGTTTTTTGCCATCACCGTGACCTACCAAATTCTATACCATACAGTATCACTATAACTTTTATCATCTGGGTGTCATAAGACTTACATCTTATGACACCTACGATAATTTTTGTTTTAGTGAAATGTAAACCAATTTAAAATAACTATTTTTATATAACAATCCTGTATTTATTAAAACCCATACTTTATTAATTTATCTGAATTCTCATTATTTCCGAGTAACCTATAAAATTGGTAATTAATATTAATTTGCGATAGCGCCACAACACTATTTAAGAACTGCAAAATACTGGCATACATATTCAGCACTATAAGGTAGGATTGCCAAGCCTACATTTAAAAAAGATTGAAAGTTCAAAAAACCAGGACTATCCAGTTTAAAAACAGAACGCAGTAATAGTGTTGCAATAGTTATATTAATATGTAATAAAACTCAAGTAATTAATATATTAATATGCTACTGTTGAAAATCAGTAATTAAGAGGCGCGCATATTTTATAAACCCAGGACACTTCAAAATCTAGGACATGTCCTGGGAAAACAGGACGGTTGGCAACTCTACTATAAAGCATTATAATGTCAAATTTGTCTATGATTATAAGTAAAACGTCACCTATTTTGTCTTTTAATTGTGATGTCTAAAAAAAATTATTTTCTTCGACTTTGAGGTCAAACTTTGAAAACAAAAACATTAACGACTTGCTATCTCTAATATAGGACCTCGAAAAGATTTATTCGTGACATTTTATGATAAACAATGTTTAATTAAAGTGATTGTGATGTCTAATTGCTATTCGCTTCTTGTGCGCGTGTCACGATGTTTTATGACTCGCCGGATGCTTCAGAACTATCTGATGAATGCAAAATGTCATTGTTCCAGCCCAAACGCGTCATGTTTTATAGGCCGACGCAATTTGAGCGGTAAAAGTGACATTCTATAGGTAACTAACGGAATTTGAAATTAGAATAGTGCAAACATTAATTTGATTATTTCGCAATTGATACGCGTCTAATCGCCACGTTCTCGACGTCTCTATCAAAATAGTTCGGTGTTTTTTTTTAAACAGTGCGCGTTTTATAACTGGCCGTAAATTAATTAATGTGACTATATAATATGATAATGTTTTTTTGGTTATCGAATATTAAATGGAATAAATGGCGTCGTTTTAAAATATAGTGTTGATGTATTGTAATGTTCGATTACAAAGATTTGAGCATATGTTATGTGCAAATAAAAGCGTTGCTTGACATTCTTTGCAAACATGTGCTTTTATAGTGGACTCTTCGTAAAAGCATCTTTGAACTTTGAACGCTTTTAAATGCGGTCAATACGCGATACGGGACGTACAAAGTTGCATTTGCAATGTGCAAATGTTTGCTTAAATTTTAAACACATTAAAAGTCCAAATAATAAATATGCTACATGCCTAGTATATATAGTATCATACGATTACATCGCATATTGTAGGAATTCATTTGGGTAATCGTTCGATTTTCAAATTTAAAAAAATACGTTAGTAAATAGAACACACAGTTTATAAATCTACCATTCAATATACACAATAATAAATTTATTGGTTATATTTTCTTCTAAAGTTATTAAATTATATTTACTTCTAAATATTTATTTTTCTAAGTAACATGTAAATTTAATTTTTATTGCTTAATCAAACATTTCATTTTATTAAGAACTTCTTAAGAACTTCTTACGTATTCAAATATATGTTAATTTATTTAATTGTTGTTTGAAATATTTTAGCTGTTTCTCAAATAGTATTATTAATAATATATCCTAGATAATAGTAGATTATACGGAACCCGTCGTGGTTGATTCCCAAGTAAATCGTCACGTTGACCTACTTCGTCTAAGTTCATGTTTATCCCATTATTATTCCCTGGCATCCCGCTAGACTACACCAAGTGCAGCATACACATCCATAAAAAACATTGTGAGGAAAAGGGCGCCTCTGTTACAGTACGGGTAGAGGAAGTGATAATTTTATCCTACGCGTGGCGGAGCGCTACCACATTTTATATCGTAATACATACAATATTAACAATAATTTATTGGCAAGAAACTACGGTATAATCGTTTGATGGGTTGAAGCGCGCGTACGTTTGTTAAACAAAATGATTCAGTTTGCGTTTACGCATGTGTTGGTAATATTGATTTTTCTTATGTGTAATGGTTTACATGCATTGAAAACAACGGATGATGGTGTCTGTGTTCGAAATGTTACGTAAGTTACTTTTTAAATAGTGTTCAAAAATCTTCTGTAATTATGATAATTATGTTTTTAATTCAAAATAATGTTCCAAATTTAAATGTTTTGATTGTGTTGTGGTATTTATGTATTTAATTTATTATCTTCTGTATTTATAATAATTACGTTTTTAATTCAAAATAATGTTCCAAATTTAAAAGTTTTGATTGTGTTCTGGTATTTATGTATTTAATTTATTATCTTCTGTACTTATAGTTATTACGTTTTTAATTCAAAATGATGTTCCAAATTTGAATGTTGTGATTTTGTTATGTTATTTATGTATTTAATTTATTATTGTACAATTTTCTTTTTTTATTAATTGAAAATGTGTGAGTAATACTTATTAAATTATTTAACAATGAGTGTAATTCGTTAATTACTTTTCATTAATTTGATTTCAATTTCAATTTAATATTCAATGCATATATTTGTAGAATGTTGCTGTATTATAGAGAAATATTGTTCTAATTTCTAATTGAAAATTATTTATTAATTTACAACACAAATATTTGAATCTGGATGGACGTTATTCTTTAGTGTTGTTATGTAAGGTCGTTATTTTCAAATTATGTCCGTTACTACACTCCCCTCAAACGACTTTACCAATTTCTATGAAATTTTGTGTGTATATCGGGTAGGTCTAAGAATCGGCCAACATCTATTATATTCATATCCTTCAATGATAAGGGTTACTCACCCCTAAATATATTTTTTGTTTTATTGTTGTTGTATAGTTGATACTTCAATTTCTATTAGCCTTAGCAAAAATCATCATCCGTAATTATAAGAGATCGAGGTATATAAAGTTGTAGATACCTTTATATCACTGGTATTGTTAGTCAAGGGCAATTCATACTTGGAATGTACCATATCACTTCGATCTTCGACTTTGTAAAAAGTCGTTTGCGTCGGCTTTGCATGATTTTGGTTGAAGGGTGAGAATAGGCAGTGAATTTTACACAATAGGTCAGCTTTGCATGATGGTTTCGGTTGTAGGGTGAGAATAGGCAGTTATGTTACAGGATAGGTCAGTTCTGCATGATCATTTCGGTTATAGGTGAGAATAGGCCGTTATGTTACAGGATAGGTCAGTTTTGCATGATAATTTCGGTTATAGGTGAGAATAGGCAGTTATGTTATAGGATAGATCAGTTTTGCATGATAACGTCGGTTGTAGGATGAGAAAAGGCAGTGATTTTACAGAATAGGTCAGCTTTGCATAATGTTTTTGGTTAAAGGGTGAGAATGGGCAGTGATTTTACAGAATAGGTCAGCTTTGCATTATGTTTTTTGTTAAAGGGTGAGAATGGGCAATGATTTTACAGAATAAGTCCGCTTTGAATAATGTTTTTGGGTAAAGGGTGAGAATGGGCAGTGATTTTACAGAATAGGTCAGCTTTGTATAATGTTTTTTGTTAAAGGGTAAGAATGGGCAATGATTTTACAGAATAGGTCAGCTTTGCATGATGATTTCGGTTGAAGGGTGAGAATGGGCAGTGATTTTACAGAATAGGTCAGCTTTGCATGATAATTTCGGTTGTAGAATGAGAATAGGCAATGATTTTAACTACTATAATCTTATTGTATAAACCCATCTAGAACCTACCGAGGGGTGAAGTACTAGGTACGAAGCATGTATGACGGTAGTACTGTCTACCGTCATACATGCTTCGAACCTAGTTCAGTTCCCAGGCTCATACAATCACAACAAATTGTTTATGAAAATGATTTAAGACCTATATATGATTGCGGCTTAATAAAATTTATTTATATATTAATGTTGTCCACCTGTCGTCCGTTTGTCGCGCCTGTACAATGATCTTGCAGGAAAATCCGGAAATTGGTATTCTCATTGACAATCACAGTTCATAACTAAGCTCAAAAGGTGACGTTTCTTTGTCACACCACAACGTTGTTATATGTATGTTTTATTGTATTATTATTAGTGGCAATCAACTTTAATTAATATTATTAACATCTGTAATAGTAGCGACATAATCTTGTAATTCAATGCATGCTGTGGTTACATATAATTATGAGAACAGTTTAAGACCATTATAATTGTATAGAATCATGACAATTCTTTTTATTGCTGTATCTTGTGTTGGTAATCCTTAGAAATAAATAAATAAATAATGTTATTACTTTACAGGATGTTAATTTAAAATAGTATGAATATATTAAATTTATAATACATATTAAAATTGTGATTTCTTTTGTTCCAGGACGAGCAAACTTAATAAATATGGAAAGAGAGTGGTAAGACATCATGTACACAATATTAATGTAACAAGTTCAAATCTGGCGAACGCAAAAACTCTTTGTTACAATTTATGTTTTGATTGATTCGCCGGTGAAGGAAACACCGATAATAAAATGGCGGCGGCAGGCTCGCCTGTGACGTTTTATTCAAAATATACCCAGCAAAATAGTGGGGTTATTAAGTGTTGCGTTGCGGGTTACATTCTACATTCTTCTCGCGGGTTCCAGCTAGTATCTTTTCGAATAATAACTTTGTCTTCTTTTTTTGAGATAAAGATCAAAGGTCAAATTTAATGAAGATTGGTTCAGCCCCTTAGGCGTGAAGATCTTAAACAGACTAACCTTACAATTTCTAATCCTGAACAAAAAGGAGGTCTTCCACACAATCTTTCATCTGTCCTTTCGACCCCTTACAATCCTTTTTTCGCATTAAAAAGTAGCCTATGTCCTTTCTCAGGATCTAAACTATCTGTGTATCAAATTTCATTTAAATCGGTTCAGTAGTTTTGGCGGGAAAGCGAGACCGACAGACAGAGTTCGCATTTAAAATTTTAGTAAGGATTTATTATTACTTGTATCATAAAAAAATGAAATGAAGGTTATAATTTACATGCAACAAAATAATTGCAATTGATCTAAACGATATAAAACATGACTGTAAATATTTAATAAATATATTTATATGTATGTATGTAACCACGAACTATATTTAAGAATTCATTATGAATTTGATAATTGATAACAATACAATGTGCCTGTGTATGACTGTATGTATGTATGTTATCAATGGGAAAAAGCAACAAAAGGCTCATTGAATGTTCCCTGATAAAATATTTAATTACACCGACACAACTAGATATAACAACATTGTACTATTTTTATCTAATTTGTATAATAATAATGAGTACCCACACATACGCACTCACACACGCACACATGCACACAACACACACATACACACACGCTGCACTTACTTGGTTTCGGCCCGTAAGTGTGGAATACGCAAAGCGTAAAAATCCAGCAAGAGCTGTGAAAAGAAAACATAATAATAATAATAATCTCAGAACAATTCACACACACACACATATATATATGTATGTATAAATTAATATTAAAATAATGCATTTTGTTTACAGAAACACATAAGCACAGTGCCCCACTGCTGCACAGGTTGGAATTACGATGCCGAAACTGACGGTTGTAAACCGGCCGTTCCCTGCAATGGACTGTGTGTAAACTCCAAATGCGGTGACAACGATGTATGCGAATGCAATTCTGGCCACAGACGGGTAAACGAAACCCACTGCGCCCCAGAATGCCCCACCCATTTCGTGAATGACCCGTATACATTAAAATGCATTTGCGAACATGGCTACAAGTGGTCGGCAAACGAAACGAAATGTCTCCCAGTCTGCGAAGAAGAATGCGAGAATGGGGAATGCGTGGCCCCAAACGAATGCACTTGTCATTCCGGATACGAATTCCAGAGCAAATATAAATGTAAACCTGTATGTTCGATCTGCGAAAACGGGGAATGCATATCACCAAACGTATGTGTATGCAGCGAAGGATATACCCGGAAAGGAAGCAAATGTATCCCTGTATGTGAAGAGGAATGCGTTAACGGGTTTTGCATAGTTCCCAACATTTGTGAATGTGGGGAAGGCTACAGAAATAATTTGACCGCGCCCCATATATGTTACAAACCTTGTAACAACATTTGCAATTATGGGAATTGTGACCTACATGGACGGTGCATCTGTGATGCTGGCTTTAAATTTGACGGCGACAGTTGCAAACTGATTAAAACGTAAGTGAACATTTGTTATGATTATTTACAGCTAGCTAACTCAACCAACTAGTCTACATCACACTAACTTTATATTCCTCATGATATTCGGCAAATAATATAATATCTTTTGAAATTATAGCCTATAACACATAGAACTTTATATTCCTCATGATATTCGGCAAATAACATAATATCTTTTGAAATTATAGCCTATACCACATAGAATTTTATATTACTCATGATATTCGGCAAATAATATAATATCTTTTGAAATTATAGACTATAACAAAAAATTTAGGGGTGGACTACCCCTAACATTTAGGGGGATGAAAAATAGATGTTGGCCGATTCTCAGATCTACTCAATACGCTCACAAAATTTCATGAGAATCGGTCAAGTCGTTTCGGAGGAGTATGGGAACGAAAACTGTAACACAAGAATTTTATATATAAGATTATATTAGTTAATTTACTGTACAGTTTCATCAAATTAGTATTTTGTGTGAAACAGGACAAACATTCATTCCTGCATCACAAAAAAAAAATTCGCGGTTATAATATAAGATATATACAATAAGATTAAGGTTTAAATCCGATAAACACTTTAAACTTTTTTCACAACTTTTTACAATTGTATTATTTACGGTCTCGGTGGTCTATCGGTTTAGCACACGGCTTCTCTTCTAATGGTCGCGGGTTCGATACCTCGTACGGTACAAACATTTGTATTCATAAGTACGATTGCTTGTATCGGTTTTCATGTTTTCTGTGTATATTATGTATGTATTTATAAAAAAATCTAAGTATATCTATCAGTTGTCTAGTACCCATAACACAAGCTCTACTTAGCTTGGGACTAGATGGCGCTGTGGGAATTATTCAATTACCTGAGTAAACTTTGACAAAAGAAAAAACATATGTACCTCTGTCAAACTTATTTCAATTGCTAGCATTTATTTCAGTAGAAGAGTGAGATAAGCTAGTGAAATGAAATAGAAATATATATATTAAGTCGCTGTCGCTGTCTGTCCGTCCCTATATATGCATTTAAATCTTTAAAACTACGCAACGGATTATGAAGCGGTTTTTTTTAATAATTTGACTTGTCATATGTGTCTGTAATGGACCTAAATGAATAAAGATATTTTTAGTTTGAGTTTATTTTAAGTTGTAATAGGATAATTGATATAGGTTATAATACAGACGAGTACCAAATACCGCAGAGTACAACATTTACAAAACATATTGTTGTGATGATATCGTTTCTATATAAAATAACTCTAATTATAACGTTTCTTGTAAACAATATGGTATTATATTTATAAGATTGGTATTTATTGACGTACTATGAAATTGGGTAATTACTGACTAACATTAATTACTAAAATTATATTAATTATATTCGTATATGACATAAATTAAAGATACCTAGAAATTGGTATTTTCATAATTAACTAAATCACGTAATAACGACGCTTTTTGAATGATTTAATATAGTTTAAAAATATAATAATTACTAATATGTAATACTTAGTCCATATGTTATTCTGATGCATAAGCTATATTAGTGTAACGTTTCATCAAAATCCGTTCAGTAGTTTATGTGTGAAAGAGTAATAAACATCCATACTTACAAACTTCCGCGTGCATAATATTATTAAGATATTTCAGAACAATACTCAGAGAGCCATCTAGTCCCAAGCTATGTAAAACTTGTGTTATGGATATTAGACAACTGATATAAGTACTTAGACACAATTATTTAAAAAATACATATAATATACATAGAAACCATTCAGACCGATAGAAACAACAATGTTTATGAATACAAATGTTCGCACCGTGCGGTAATCGAAACTGCAACCATTGAAGTAAAGCGGCGTACTAAATTGCTAGATCACAGAGGCCATATAAATCATTTAAATTTTTCTACTTTGATTCTTCGGGAAATGATCTTTTTGAAGAATTACTGGGTTGGTGCACCATCTTGTGCTAACTGAAGGTACAGGGTGGCCCGATACCAGTAGATAGAAAAGATGAGGGTCAGGTCAGTCAGCCTATTGTGGTGAATTGCACTTTTCTGTGCAAAAGTGTAGTTCTTTAGGACCTCTTTGAAATTATATTAAACGAACTAATCAACTTAAAGAGCGGAGGATCTGCAACCTAGTTCGTTAGGGCTTTGGAGGCGCTCTATCGGTTATTAGTTTGTTAGTGAGATAAAAGTAGAATAGAATAGAATAGAATAGAAAACTTCATTTAAGCACTTTTGAATAGTCATCAAACATTTTTAATTTACCACTCATTCGGAAACCTCTCTCATCACAAAAAGAATGAGCAAAAAACTTGTGTGTACTCTTTAAATAATCGTTGTGCTGTAAGTTTACAAACTGAATATAAATGATTTTAATGTCTTTTTTTTATATTCTAGGGACGAAGTCAATAAACTGTCAGAACTCTCTTCGAACAAAACGTGAGTATTATTATATTATATTATATTATGTTTTTTTAAACTCGAGCACTATCACTGTTTGCTAACTACAACCTCTGCCACAGTGTTAGGTTGGCTGGAAGAGATCTCTTTTAGAGGAACCCACCCTTGCTCATTTTTTTATTTGATATTGTTACAAGTGCAATAAAGTATTGTTTCTAATGTTACCTGTTAGTTCTGACAACATCCTTTGTGAAGTTTCTTCATCCCAAATCTTACACTTGATTTATCTCTCAATTTCCTTCATACAAACTTAGTCTAAATACAACTTAGTGTAAATACAACTTAGTCTAAATACAACTAAAAAATAGTAATATTTTTAGTTGAGTTCTGCCTTTGTAAAGCGTTTAAATAAGTACATTCAGTAACTGATTTGTAATCGTATAGTTTTTTTTAATACTGTACGCTTAATATTATAAACATTAACTCAGACGTTCCAAATTTTGGAATATAGACTCTAAAGTTTTGTGACAAGGTAGAAATTACAAAATTTGTATTATCCAAGTTAATGCATTTATTATTAGGCATGCTATAATTATTAACGCAGCAAAGTGTAATGTTTGTTAAAAAAGTAACCCAATTAAAGTTTTAAGAAAGCGGTCTATTTATTAATATCTGCTTTCAATCTGCTAGCGGTTTTAAAATATTTACAGACATGTCATGCCAAATTTTAAATTTGCTTTATTATAAACATGTGGTAAAAATGTTATGTACCACACCGTATCTATTATATATGTCAGAACATCGCTGGAGTTATCAGGAACACGCAATCCTTACTAATATTATAAAGACGAAAGTAACTCTGTCTGTGCGTCGCGGTTACACATATAGTCTAGACCCTGAGAAAGAACATGGACTACTTTTTATTACGAAAAAAAGGGTTGTAAAGGATTGAAAGGCGATATGAAGGGTTATATGCAAGTATTGTTATTTTTAAAGCTGGAAGCTTGAAACTTATTTATTAAAAATGTTATCCAAACTCTCTATTCGGACGAAATCGCGGGCACAGCTACTTTCTAATAAATTAGTATGATGTCATAAAACGTCACCTATTACACCAAACAGACGACAACAATAAATAAAACATATAGGCATCTGTTTATTAATAATTAATTTAATTCAAAGAATGATATCTGGTGGCGTCATATGTGATATGTATTTATAAATTAATATGTATTTATAAAATTAATTATTTGCCTACTTTGTTATTACTGTAGTTTATTTCTCAGATTTATACTTTGAACCATATTTAAATATATGTTCAACTAGCTGTGCCCGCGACTTCGGTTATCAAAAACACTATCGCGATTATCTTACAACTTTCCCCTTTACTTCACCTTTCCCCTTTTTTCCAACATTTTTCACTGTTGCTTCATTTCTATTAGTCGTAGCGTAATGTTATATAGCTTAAAGCCTTCCTAGATAAATGAATTATCCAATACAAAAAGAATTTTTCAATTCGAACCAGTAGTTTCTGAGATTAGCGCGGTCAAACTAACAAACTCTTCAGCTTTATAATAGTAGATGATAAAAATATCCTATTTTTTTTTCGTTGATAGTGTGTAATGTACACACTAATATATAAACAGATAAAGAAAGTTTTCTAACGGAATGTGACATGTTGATCCCAGTCCTAGCAATGTACTATCACAGATTGAAATCCACACTATTCCCCTTGGATACCATCATGATAAATTCCTGGCGATTTTCTCACAATTGGGTAACTGACTTGACCTCATGCTCATCTTATCATCCTCCACTGGTGCGCCAACGTAAGCCGTTAGCGCAGACGGGTGCAGCATTCTATTATCATCATGTTTTAGAATTTAACTCCATATATCTACATCTATCTAATTGTTAATTTTATCATCCACTGGTGCCCCGCCAGCATAAACCGTTAGCACAGGCGGGTGCACCATTCTATTATCCTTTACCAATAACAAAGCTTTGTCGTCGTTATGTTTTAGAATTTAACTCTATCTATCTACATCTATCTAATGGTTCATTTTATCATCTACTGGTGCCCCGCCAGCGTAAACCGTTAGCGCAGACGGTTGCACCATTCGATTATCCCTTAAACATAACAAAACTTTGTCACATATCATATACATAATATATCTAATTGTTCATTTTATCATCCATTGGTGCCCCGCCATCGTAAACCGTTAGCGCAGGCGGGTGCACCGTACTATTATCATCTATTAAAAAAAGAAAGCTTCGCATCGTCATGTTTTAGAATTTAACTCCATCTATCTACATCTATCTAATTCGTATCTAAATGCTTTGCAGGTTGGCTAGCCTGCAACTGTCCTGGATATTGGCTGGAGTTGTAATATTACTTCTGGTGACACTAGGAGTGGTGATCATGCAAAGGATTTGGCAGAAAACGAAGAAAATTGACCGCAAGCCTTCCGGGGAGTGTAAGTATTTAAATATATTATTTGTATTGCTGTGTGTTTCTATATACTGAACTGGATGGCAGGGAAAAAATCTATACATGTAAATAAAATTGGAGTGTCTGTTTGTAATATTGAAATAACCGTTTGATACTACATGCATATGAATATAAATACGGTACATACACCAAAATAACATTTTTTACAATTTTTCTCTGTCTGTCTGTTTGTTACGGCTAATCTCTGAAATGACTGAAATAAAATCCGATTTTGACGGGACACAAACTTCAGCGTTTATTATAATTAGCCAGATATTGTAACTATCCTTATGAGTGGTAAATAAAGATTATTTTTATTTATCACTAGCTGTTGCCGTGACTTCGTCCGCGTGGAATTTAACTTTATTTTTCTAAAATAAAAGTAGCCTAAGTTACTCCTTATTACATCAGCTACTTGCTAATAACAGTGCCGTCAAAATCGGTCCAGCCATTTCAGATATTAGCCGGAACAAACAGACAGACTGACAGACAAAAGTTGTAAAAAATGTAATTTTGGTGTATGTACCGTATCTATATCCATATGCATGTAGTAAAAAACGGTCATTTCAATATTACAAACAGACATTTCAATTTTATTTATATATATAGATTTCTTAAGTATTTAAATATTTATTATATTTACATAATGTTACTTGTACAACTGACATTTTATAGAAAGAAATCATCGACTGATCGATTGATTTATGATTATCGATTGACCTGAGAAATATTTATTATATATACGCACTTTATTATAGGATGTATACATATACATAGATTTTCCCGTCCAAATTCTGGTTTTTATGCGTGTTAAACTTGAGCAACCTTGATTTTTTTATATACCGAGGGATTAACACTGATTGACACAATCAAAATCGTTTATTGGAATGTCAACTGCGATATCGACAAGTCAAAGAAAAAAAAACTGGAAGTAGTTTTTTTTTCTTACAGGCACTATAACCAACAAAAAAAGAAAAAAGGTTATTTAAACAAACTGGCTACCCATCCCGCCTTCTCACGGGTATACGTACACGTGACTACATATTATAAAAGAAAGTCGCTGTCGCTGTCTGTCTGTCCCTTTGTATGCTTAAATCTTTAAAACTACGCAACGGATTTTGAAGTGGTTATTTTTAATAGACAGAGTGATTCAAGAGTAAGGTTTATATATATAATACATGTACCTACACCCGTGCGAAGCCGGGGTGAGTAGCTAGTTATACATATAAACGTTTCTCTTGAATCACTTTATGTATTCCTAAATACTGTAGTTTAAAAGATCTAAGCGAACATAGCGAGCGAGAGCGATAGCAGAAGCGACTTCTTTCATAGTATGTAAAAATAATGTAGGTGCATGCATTAATATAAAGTAAATACATAAAGAATCATAGGCTACGGTAACCGTTTATTATCAGATGGGCCGTATGCTTGGTTGTCATACAATAAGAAAAAATATACCTGAATAAATTACACATTTGAAACCCAAAAGATTTTTTTTATCTATCAAAGATCTAGAGTAGGAACGAAGCTGTACATACATGGAACGAAATTAAGTATGGTCAAAAATAATGTCTTCCATATGGCGATAAAAATGTATAATAAAATACCAGATGATATAAAGACACTTCCACGAGGACGATTGACATATAAATTAAATAGTTGGTTACTCGACAAATGTTTTTACTCCGTAAACGAGTTTTTAAATTAATAATAATGTAATAATAATAATATGTATTTATAATTCTCTGATGACAATTGATTTAATAATTAAATAATATTAATATTTATATATTTTGCATGCCTAATGAGGCAAAACATAATGGGACATTATATTACAATAACAACCAATGTAAACCTATGTTTAGTGCAAATAAATTTGATTTGATTTGATTTGATTTATATCAGTAATTGAAAAATACTTATATCGATACGTAACAATATTTATGTAAATATAAACTCTTTCAGAAAATGTTAATTAATAGAATAAACTCTTTCAAAAAATGTTAATTAAAAGTTATTAATAAAATACACTCTTTCAAAAAATGTTAATTAATAGTTATTATTAAATACACTCTTTCAAAAAATGTTAATTAATAGTTATTAATAAAATACACTCTTTCAAAAAATGTCAATTAATATTTATTAATAAAATACACTCTTTCAAAAAATGTTAATTAATAGTTATTAATAAAATACACTCTTTCAAAAAATGTTAATTAATAGTTATTAATTAACATTTTTGAAAGAGTTTATATTTACATAAATATTGTCACGTTTCGATATAAGTATTTTTCAACTGATATAAAACTGATTAAAAAACTTATTAATTAACGATATTAATAAAGAAAAACTGAAACGTTTTGCGAAAATGTCATATGTAGTGATCTAACTTGCATTTTCGAAATCGGATGTAACATGAATGTTTTTTTTATTTTCCCTGGACAATTAACCTGATATAACTATGTACATAGACTCATTTTTTTTGCAAATACATACATAATATACATAGAAAACACCCAGACCGATACAAACAATCATACTCTATAACTACATAGATTCATTTTTTTTGCAAATACATACATAATATACATAGAAAACACCCGATACCAACAATCATACTCATGAATGTTTGTACCGTGCGAGGAATTGAACCCGCGACCATCGGATGTAAGGCGGTGTGATAACACGCTAGACCACCGAGACCGTCATTTATTTCTTTATAAACATTACTCTTTAATATATCTATGTATTTGTACCAATTATCTAGTACCCATAACACAAGCTTTACCCCCCTAAAGCTAAAAGGAGATTGTTAGTAATGTGGACTCATAACCCATAACCATATTACTAGCAATGTACCATGTCAGTTTGACTTCCACGCGGTACTCTCTGGAAACCATTATGATAAATTCCTGGTCAATTTGTTACAATGGGCTAACAAACCTGATTTCATGTTCATCTTATCATCCTCCACTGGTGCCCCGCCAGCGTAGACCGTTAGCACGGGTGGGTGCACCATTCCATTATCATCCTTTAAAAAAATACAAGCTTTACCTAGCATAACTTGGGTCTAGATGGCGCTGTGAGATTATTTTTATTATACATATATTTATCTTTCCTTCTTTCAGATATTGGCCAACCTAGTATCGTATATACTGTTCCTAATACACTAACGCGTGGTCACAGCAACTGCAGTTACAAAGATGATACGGAATGGAACGATATGGACAATATGAGCACACTCAAATGCGATACAATATCCAATTACGAGAATGTAGAAGACGAGGCCCAAGAACAACTGTTCAAAAATAGTACTCATTTATAATAGACTAGCTGACTGCGTTCACTTCCGTTTGCGCAGCGCACGCAACGGAAGCCTCGAATTTGAATAATTTTCCCCGTTTTTGCAATATTTTCACTGATGCTTCTATTGGTCGTAGCGTAATGTTATATAGCTTAAAGCCTTCCTCGACAAATGGACTATCCAACACAAAAGGAATTTTTCAATTCGAACTGATAGTTCCTGAGATTAGCGCGTTCAAACAAACAAACTCTTCAGCTTTGTAATATTAGAATAGATTATAGTGCATTTTAATTTGATTTGGTACTGTTTGTGATTTATTTGTTATTATTACGTCCATTTGTAGATTATCAGGATTAAAAAATACGTTTTTCAAGCTGTCATAAATGGGCTGAGCACACAGACTACTTCATAAATTAATAACATTTTCACTTAATACTTTTCTTAACCTGGCTTCACATCATTAGGTTCAGTCGGACGATTGTCCTAAGTTACTACGTTCCAATTGGCGCATTTAGAAAAGGGGCGGGGCGTAGGATCAGTTTCGCCAATGAAACTGTAGCCATTTAGGGGCAATAATTCGACTGTACCTACTAATGTGAGACCAGATTTACATCGTTACATTATCAATCGTCTGATGCATTCACTAAGTAACTAAGTCAAAGTCCAAACTATAATGTAGCTCTCTCATAGTATCTATATAAATTGGCTAAATATTTTTTAGTTTATCCATAATAAAAAAATAAATATTCAAACAAAAAAATACATATATTTTTCAACAAAAATAAACTTAATGATAGTCATTGTTTTATTGTTTAAGTATACATTTTTAAGATTTTGTGTGACTGTAAACTAACAAAAATCGTAATTTACAGGATTAATATGTGTATTACTCCTGTATAATTAAATTACAGATATATATACATATACTTTATTAGGAAAGGGAGAATTATTTAACAAAGAGTTACTTAAGTAATAAAATAAGGAATCGTTATTGACCTTTCTCAAATGTTCGTTTTTGTTTTATTTTATTTGTTTAGATACCGAGAATTACAGGTTTGTTTGTTTCGTTTGTTCATTGAAATTTAATATAATTTATATATTTTTAGTAGATATTTTAAATAAATTATACTAGAAAGCAAAATCTGCGATCATTCTCATACTTTCAGTTTCACAGAAAAATACGAACGTGTTGATTTTTATATATTTGACTAATATACTTAAATATTGTTAAAGAAAGTATATAAATATTATTAAAAATAATGTTATTGTTAATTTATAAGCATAATAAATTAAATTAACTGTGATTATGTTCTAAACAGAAATTGTAAAAATACGTTTAAATATTTTCTTAATTAAAAGTGTTTTAATTAGATAAATCGAAATTTGTTTATTAATATATTAGGATAAGTCAAATCTATCGTTATTTTGGGATGTAGTTTGAACAGAAAAGAAAAGACAAGAAACTAGGCTTATTCTTTTTTTTAATATTCGTCTCTGGCTTCCATAACGAGAGAGTCCGTCAGAAATGTAAATTGCCACATAATGTTTTTTGATGTCAGCCAGATACAAACTGACGACCTCTCAGTCTATGTTGGGGTAGTCAAACACAAGGCCACGATAGTCTAAAAACTGTAAAAAGTATCATATATATTTACAAAGTTTTTTTAAATTTCGCTGAATAAATAAAGTATTCAATAATAATAACATTAAAAATGTAATGTAACTTTATCAAACAAAATAACTGTATCATAATCGGTTCATTCATTTAGGAGATGCGATGCCATAGATACACAGAAACATCAAAAAAATATCAAAGCGCTTGCTTTATGCGTCGAAAAAAATCTGTTCCATATGCGTTATACAATTTAGACTTTTTTTATATATTTATGACAGTATATTTTACTTACATCTCAATTTTTATTTACATCTTATATATTAATAATGGGTCACGTTATATAGTCTACGTCACATGTGGATGGCATTCAGCAACGACATGTGACAAAGAGTATATAACGTGACATGTGGTAAATATTCGTTAGAAGAAGTATGATATCATTGTAAATAATAGTAAAACAGTTAATAACAGTGACTCGCATAATTATTTTAATTACAGTTATGTATGTATGTTTATTCTTCTTACATTATAGATATATATATGTACTTGTTGAAATCGTGCTGATAACGTGTTGTAGTAATAAGAAAAAAGACTTGGTAAAACGGAGAAAGTATATTAATAATAGACTAACATATTAGGAACAGAAAGAATAATAGTATCAAAAACAGAACTTTAAATTTATATTTAAAACAAATTTAGAATATAAAATACATATCTGATTCAGTTACAACATAATTATTGTTAATTACAGTTATATATATGTTTTATTCCTTCTTGCATTATGGCCAACAGCATATATATATATATACTGTGAATAACGTTAATTTATTAATTATGTATTTATTTATTATATATATGTATTGACATAAATAAAATTATATTATGTATTTCACCATTATAATTACTAAAAGTAAATTATATATGTATTTATGCCAGTTGTCTAGTATAGACTGATGTTTTCTGTGTATATTATGTATGTATTTATAAAAAAATGTCTAAGGATATATATAAGTTGTTTAGTACCCATAGCACACGCTATGTTAAGATTGGGACTAGATGGAATTGTGTAGAATTGTTCTGAAATATTATTATTGTACATATGAAAGTAAGCAACTTTCATCGAAGTGTGAAGTGTATAATAAATTTTAAAACGTCCCCTCATCAATTTTGTATGAAAATTTCAAAATTTAATTTGAGATTCGACTTTGTTTCTAAGCGAAAGCAGTTTATAAGTATTATAATCATATATTGAATTTCTGCTTGTTACATACTTTAAGGTTAACTCTATGTATATATAACTAGCTACTCGCCCGGCTTCGCACGGGTGTACATGTATGACATATACAAATCTTCCTCTTGAATCACTCTATTTATTAAAAAACACCGCTTAAAAATCCGTTGCGTAGATTTAAAGATTTAAGCATACATAGGCACGGACAGATAGCGACAGCGACTTTGTTTCATACTATGTAATGAAGAAGAATCCCAAAATATCTTCAATCATATATTTCTTGACAACATCCAGCAAAAATATATAAATAAAAAAGAAATATTACAATAAACATAAGAAATGATATAAACTGTCAGACCAGTCAGCAATATGTATTAATATGTTTGAAAACAAAATGTATTTTTATGCTGAGATTCAAAATTATGTATGTCTAAATTGTTACACATAAAAATTGTCTAAAATATTATGTACCTAATTTAAGTATAAAGGGAAGCCTTCGCTGCCTACTAATATTATTACCAGTATTAATAATAATAATAATAATAATTATTATTATTTTCTCCACAAGCACTGATATATGCAAATTTAATGCTAAAGTAAATATTTCTGGAGAACTGGTACTGTACGAAGAACCTGTGTCACGGGACACCCGGTCCAATATTAGTGGATAGAAGACTTAGGTATATAAGTACATCTCCTGGGCGGTTCATTTTAAGCTGTATACGCCGCTGAATAACAGTATTTTAGGATTACTCATAATCGGTTTACCAATTTATGGATGTAAATATGACAGTTTTTTTCACAAATTAATATAATATTTTAATAAGGTATTGTAAGTTTGAAAATAAAGTTTTTACAAGTGACATGGCGTTTTCTTTGAAACTTACCTTTTTATTATGAAATGTAAAAGTAAACAAGTGGACGGCCCACCCTGTTTGTATGTGGTTATCGTAGTTTATATACGCGAGTATACATTATACATATATTATATGTTATACTAGCTGACCCCGCCAAATGTTGTTTTGCCATATAAATTAAAAACTCTATTAAAAAAATAGGGTATACAATACACCCTAATTTTCACCCTTCTATCATACGATAGAAGGGTGAAAATTTAGGGTATAAGTATAAGTATTATTCAATGCTAAAGCATAATAAAATAAAAATAAAATATTATGTCAAAAAAATAAAAAAGATATTTAGGGGTGGCCAACCCTTATCACTTAGGGGATTTGAAAGAGATGTTGGTAGATTCACAGACTTACCTAATATGTATAAAAAATTAATTTGAAATGCCGTCAATTACTATTAATGGTTGGTATGATTAATAAAATATGGCTGAGCGCAGTGATGGCTGACTCATACGTCATACTCGTGAACGAGTGCTGCTTGTAGGGACTGATCTGGTCTAATTACTACGACTGATTTAATCTTATTGTGTATTTATATTTGATGTTAATAAATTAGTGCTAGCTGGTAGTTTGTATTCACACGTTTCGACTTGAAAAATGTACAGCTATTATTTAAAACAGCAACACATAAGTTGCTCTTTCTTCTAGTACTTACTTTATAATTATTGTAGTCAAATAAACTCAATATAGACACTTTTGAAAAATTTGAACATTTTTTTTTATTCTACCACTCTATCGGAACGCAGACTCATCACAAGAAGAATGAGGACGAAATTTGTGTTGCTATTTTAAATAAATGTTGTTTTAAGTAGATTTACATTAACAAGGATTAGGCATGCGACAATCAATATAGAAATCCTTCATAGAGTGATTCTAGAGGAACGTAATGTATAATACATGTACACCCGGGCAAAGCCAGGGTGAGTATTTAGTCATTTATAAAGTCTACAGTTTCATAATGAGCATTTTTACAAAGGAAATGTTTTATAAGACATTTGAATCTTTTTTCTGGCAAATTGAGTACAGACTGTGGCAGTTTGTTGTAAAACGCAACAAACTTACGCAATTTCCATATAAATAATATAAATACAGATGAAATCACCATAGTTCTCCGGAATTGCAGCGCATGCATGATATCACGGGCCACACATAACGTGAACATGTACGAATATATGTATATATAACTAGTCTGGCCATAAATACTGCTTCATGAAAACTTTTTTTTCAAGATTTTAATTATTTGAATTTAGAACACGTGTATTCTTGCGTCATTTTACATATGTTTTGTGTTTATCAAATTATAGTTATTAGTTTGTATTATCAAATTATAATAAGGAATGGGGTATAAAATAGGATTGCAATGATCGCCATGAGAAAGTGGGTATGGAGCCGTTAGCGTCGGTCATATTCCGGACACTTCAAAAGCTTGGTATCAGCTGTATGTTCGTATATCGTACTATCAACAGATACAACAACATAGTCAAATCACGAAATCTATGCCCTCTCCCACTCTCCTAAGAGTTGTCTCATAGTTTGTGGTATCACATTAGCATTTGGATTAAAAACTTGAAATTTTAACTTTAATGTGATCTGCTATGACGCGTGAGTGACATGTCACACCCACATGTGAGTTAGGGTGTAACATGTGAGTGAGAATGTGATATGTGACTGAGGGGGAAGTTAGGGGGGGAGGGATGAAACTGTGACGTAATTTATGAATAATCCACTGACCGCTCTCATCGACAGGGAATTCATCCCCACACTGGCTGGGAACCTAAGCTTCCTGGAACAATTAGATTCTGGAATCTTCCGAACAGTGGGTTTTTTTCTATATTAAGGTTTTTCAGGTGTTTCAGGCGTTCATAGGCTACGATAACTATTTACCATCAGAAGGGCGTATGCAACTATATATATAATTATTCTGGAATGGACTTCCTGCATTTTCCGAGGCTATTTTTTCCAAAGTATAAAAAAAAAAAACGACATTTTTTTTTTCATGCTCAAATCATTCTAAATACTATTAATTAAATAGTGATTTTAATTTATTCAATGTTTCAAAATAATTTATATTACTGAGTTGTTAATCAGGATTGGAATGGTGTAATGAATCATTGGGTTCCCTTATCAGTTAGTGTTGCAGTTTGGGACACGTTGGTGCCCGGTGCGATCCATAATTCAAGTTCACATTATTTTAAAATCCATTTAAATAATCGTTATCAGTGACGTAAAAGTTAACCGACATATTTCAATTTATCAGAACATAGTTTATAAAACAAGTTTAATATTATAGTTTAAATATCCTGTTGGAAGTATTCAGCGAGGTTTTGTTAATAATATTTCATATTTAATTAACTAATTTTAGCATAACTGTATTAATTGTTTGGTAATGTGGTTATATTTAATATATTAACATTTTATGTAGTGCTCGTATCTTGTATGTCACGAAGATCCTTGTGAAGTACAGAACTAGCTATTACCTGCTACTTTGTCTGCATTATTACTAAAATATACTACAATATATTTTTATTAGTTAACAGACAGACAGACACACGTTTGCATTCATAATATTTGTATGGGATTATTATATTTATAAATATATTTTTATACCTATATTTATTTTTACTAGTTTGAAAGGAAAATTGGTTTTTACAGTAATATTTATTTGAACAATACCGTGCTTAGTGGTTACCTACACGACTTAGAATGGTCGTGAGTTCGAATCTGACCAATGCTAACAGTGTATTAGTATGTATTTCCGACTGACTCTCTGGCGATGTAAACACCTGTAATAAGAAACTACTCAGCTAAACGATGCTAGATCACATATATATAATGATGTATTTAAAATACATCAAGAGAAATGTGCATATTAAAGTTGACAATGGCTCTGCCTAGTCCACCCGTGATTACAGTCGCGTATATATGACTATATAAATATTTTAATATTCCTAATTAATGACCTTTAATTATCGCATATAGTTCCTAGTAGCGTTAAGAGGAAAAGTGGAATATAGTGATCCGGAGCTATATTTATTCGGTTATTAATATAATTATTAATACAAAACCTGTAGTTAGTTTTAACTGGACATTTTAATTAACGACGCGGTGCCGGCTACAACATCATCCAACATGTTGCTCTCAGCTTTTGTAATATCACTAGCAATGGTAAGTCGCAATTGTTGTTTTAAATTACCAATAACCATATAATTTGAAAGGGACTTTCACTATTTTATTAATCCACTCGAAAGAAAGCAGATGTTTATTGTTTTAGTTGTATTTTTTATAAATCTCAGAAGATCGTCAATTGTTATCCGTAATGGAAAATAATTTTTTTTATATGAAAGGATATACTTTCTCTTTGGCCGCATATATTGTTTTTCAGTGAGGTGCATTTTTAAGCATAATTATGTACATGTAACCTCATCGTGTTTGATATAACAAAGAACTGACTTTATATGTTTTGAATGTGATTTTGACATCAATTTTGAAAATAATTTGATGGTTCCTCTAAAATCATTCATTTTAGTTTCAAATTGTTTTTTGTTTTAAGTTTCACTCGTTCCCAATTGGTAATAGTATTGTTTTTTAACATTGAATCTGTTGTTATCCTCAATTAGTTTCAAGTTTTATATGGATTGTCCATAGTTTTTCATTATCCCTAATTTCTAAGTCACATTCAATACACATCACATTAACGACGAGAAAGTAATTATTTACAAATTAGGGACGTAGTCTTATTATGCATATCATTACGGCTCTCAGTAGGTCGTCCTGCTACTTTATGGTTATAAAGACAGAGGAAGACCGAAAAAGAGATAGATGAACTGCGTAAGAGATGATATAGTAAGAAAGGGATTAAATAACGAGATAACTGTGAATAGAGATGAATGGTACACGTCAGGACATCTGAACGGATCTTATTAAAATTTATATGAAGATGCAGCTAAGTTGAGCGACGACATACGTAGGGTAGCGGTGATGGCTGGACGGGATGAGAAGGGCTGACGATCGTGTCCAGTGGTGGGCCTAGGAGAGGCCTATGTCCAGTCGTGAACCGCAGTGGGATGTAGCAGAAGACAGATTCTATAACGTAAACAGACATAGTAATTATCTTAAAAAAAGCACACAATGTTGCTTATAAAAAAGCACACAATGATAAATGTGTTTCCGGTTGTATTGTTTTATAATGTTAATTATCTGAAGGCGTCCCGTTTTGAGCGGGACAGTGTTTATAAATACGAGTCCCGATGTCCCCGAAACAGACTCTGTGACGCAAGATTGTCCCGTTTTCGGTAACCGTTCGAAATTTTGGGTAGATTGTTTTGTTGGTAATTAATAACTAAAAAAAATAGGTCATTCTTACTTAAATACTTCTTAAAAAGTCAAATTTGTTCCTCGATAAATATATAAATATAAATTATTTTTATCAGATAAATATATATTTATATATATATTTATCGGATATATTTCTTAATTGACAACTTTTTCTGAACAGGTAATTTTAAAAAAGAGTTTTTTTCATTGGCTGTCTGTTAATTGTGTCCCGTTTTGAGTCGAAGAATAAATCACATTATTAATAACTCAAATAGGTATACGAACTGTCGAATAACAAATTACATGTATATATTTATATATAACTAGCTTTCCGCCCCGACATCCCACGGATTCATAATATTATAAACGCGAAAGTTTGTAAGTATGGATGTTTGTTACTCTTTCACGTAAAAAGTAGTGGTTTTGATGATACTTTACATTTATATGGCTGATATATATAGCTTATAAAGAAAATAAACATAATTTTTATTGTGGTAGACTTTGTACAAAGTGGTCTGCATGAGGTACATCTATTTTAATTAGCAAGCTGTGATATGGTTGTTGGTTCAAATTATAAAAACACAGCAAACAATAAAAAAAAAGTCGAGAATATAAAAATAGTAAATACAATATATATATATATATATATAAAATTTCATATATTTCACTTTCACTTGCTTTCCTTATCTTTATATATGTACCGCGATCATGCAAAAAGATAGTGACTCAATGTATTGCATACTGTGGGAGAAAAACCACTGATTTTCAGTTACTACCTACCTAAACCACATGTAAAGGCGCTCATAAAAACTAAAACAAAATAAAGTATAAAGCCATAAGAATAGAATAGAAAATCATTTATTCAAATAAACTTACTTTGCGCACTTTTGAATAGTCATCACATTTTTTTTAATCTACGGCTCATTTGGAAAGTGTCTCATCACAAGAAGAACGAGCAAGAAACTTGTGTGTTGCTTTTTAAATAATTTTATTCTTACTTTACATTTTTAAGTTTTCAATTAACACTTTTAATTTAATTAAAAGTGTATTTTGAAGAAATAATTAGGTAATTAATAATACACTAAGAAGAAGAAAATAAAAATTTGTGAAAATGTAAAGAAAATTAAAAGAGCTTATTACGAAGCCGTTTTTATAATAATAATAATCTCAGGACAATTCACACAGCGCCATCTAGACCCAAGCTAGGTAAAGCTTGTGTTATGGGGTACTAGACAACTAATACAAATATTATACATAGATATATTATGTTTTAATACATACATATTATATATAGTAACCCGCGACCATCGCATGTAAGACGATGTGCTAAACCCCTAGGCCATCGAGGCTGTCAAATATATCTTATATATAAAATTCTCGTGTCACAATGTTAGTTACCATACTCCTTTGAAACGGCTTGACTAATTTTATGAAATTTTATATGCATATGCATATTCAGTAGGTGTGAGAATCGGCTACTATCTATTTTTCATACACCTAAGTGGTAAGGGATATCCACCCTTTATTTTATTTCCATTTTATTATTATTTAGGATTGAAAAACACATACAACCCTAAATTTTCACCCTTTATGTATGCTGTAATTTATTTAAAAAACTAACTATAAGAGTCAAAGTTGTCTGTAATAGTTTTAATCTGTAATAGTTAGTTTGAATATATATGTACACGTAAACTACCTTAACAATATATTATGAATAATGTCGTGGTTTTCCTTAGTAAAACAAAATATTTGTTTGACTGAATTCCATAACAATTGAATAATTCTTGTTGAACTAACGGTTCAGTAGTTAATTTATTAATAGTCACTTTGTTATACAAATAAACGTATTAAAAACTATCCGAAAATGCGCAATTTTGTGAGTATGGATGGACGTTTGTCATTCTTTCATGCAAAAACTACTGAACGGATTTTGATAAAACTTTACAGTAATATAGCTTATACATCACAATAACACATAGGCTATTTTCACACGGGTGAAAACCACGGTATTGGTCTGGGTGTTTTATATATACATTGTGTATGTATTTACAAAGAAAAGTATCTATGTATTGATATCAGTTGTCTAGTACCTATAACACGAACTCTGCTTAACTTGGGACTAGATGGTACTGTGTGTATACTAGTACCTAAAATATTATGTTATATATTATGGCCTGAAATACCAGGGGCATCTGGAACGCGTTGCTGACTTTTAAGAAATGTTAATATACCCTTCTTGAAAAATCCCATTCTATAGTCCCTAGAGAAGACCTCGACACATAGTTCATTAGTTTATTTATGTGCCTTTCTTACTGAATTAAACAACCAGCCAGAAATTAAACTACCTTTCTGATCATCTGGATAAATAGTGGTCTTCCACAGTGCATTTTTCCATAAACTTTTTGCGAAACAACCATATTGCAGTATAGTATATAATTTATCGTATCGGTTCGGAAATATCACCTTCCAGCAGTGATATTTCCGAACCGATACGATATTGAAACTTTCAAGAAAAGAGCTCTTTCTTAAAAGGCCAGCATTGCACTTGCAATTCACCTGGTGTTGCGGATGCTCGTTTGCTCTATATGCTATAAAAACGATGTCCCGGGATAAGCTAGTATAATTTATTTCTGTTATATTTTTCAGATTACGCCGGGGTATGTCTACTGCATTGAAGACCCTTTGGAAACTGATAAGCTGTGAGTACTACCAATAATTATAACATAATAATAATCCAAGACAATTTCCACAGCGACACCTAGTCCCAAGCTAAGAATAGAATAGAAAATCATATATTAAAAAAAACTTACACTAAAGCACTTTTGAATAGTCATCATATTTTTTTGTAATCTACCGCTCATTCGGAAAGCTGTCTCATCACAGGAAGAACGAGCAAGAAACTTGCGTAAATTAAATTAATTTTAAATAAATTTATTCTTCTTAAGTTAAGCTAAGTTTGTGTTATGGGTGCTGCACAACTGACATAAATATATACGTTTTTGTAAACGCATTAATAATATGCATAGAAAATAGAAAAACAATGGTACTTAGAAATATTTGCATCGTGCGAGGAATCAAGTCTCCTTTGATTGATCCCCCGTCCAATACAAACGAGGATCGAAATTACGAGGGCCTGGGATGAGGTTCGAACCCCTATCGGTGCCATCAGACTAAAGTATCCGTCAGGCAGGACTTGGCCTTCAACCGCTCCATAAGTGCTAGGATTTGGATAAGTGCGTATTTTGAGTACCATCTGCACTCGCCCTCTATCGTTCGGTGAGGCTGTAAAGGCCATCAGCATTACAGTAGTCTAAAAATGTAATCAAACTGACGACCACTGGCCGCCGCTGGTGGAACGCTGTATGATTTTTAGTGGCTAAAAATCCCACAACTGACTTGACCACTCTTCGACGGGTCGATATTCTTTGGAAGTTTTTCCACACATAAAAACATACACATATCGTTTTTAGAATTAAAAATCCAGGGTCATCAATATGACTATAATTTAGTGTATATGTCTATATTGGAGGCTTTCTTCTTTAGGTGTTTTTCATTATTCTTATATCAATTTTATGCTATTGATTGTTAGGTTCTCATTAATAATATAAAGTTTGTGAGGTTGTGGGGTGTAATGTACTAAACCAATTAAAAAACATATTTTACTAATAAAAGACACGTTATTTATGAATATCGTAGGCTGTAACGTCACGCTACGACCATTTTTTTATGGATGATAATGGAATGGTGCACCCGCCTGCGCTAAATGTTTACGCTGGCGGGGCACCAGTGGAGGATGATAAGATGAGCATGAGGTCAGGTCAGTTAGTCCATCGTGACAAATTCACCAAGAATTTATCACGATAGTTTCCAGGGGGAACCGCGTGGAGGTCAACCTGACATGGTACATTGCTAGCAATAAGATCATCAGTCCATATTACTAACAATCTCCTTTGCCTTCCGCTACGACCATTAGGAGCGGCTACAATGAAAAATGTTGCTAAACCCAGAAAATATAACCCAGATGAAGTTGCGTAGTCTCTAGAAAGTACTCTTGTATTGTACTGCGTGTTAATTAGGATAAACTTATTAAACTTATTTGTTTTAAGAGAATAATGCGTTCGAAAATAGTTGACTTTAATAGGTATATTTTGTAACCACAAATTTATTTATTAATATAGAAATATTTCAAAATACTCAGTGTAAATTACGTAAGCACTATTGCATGTTTGAATAGTAAATAGTAATATTAATATATTACTTATAATAATAATATTCTATATTTGTATTAATGACTAACTTCATTTGTCTGGGGAATAACGTATGTATACGATGATGATAATGGAATGGTGTACGCTGCAGCCTCCAGCCTGGTAGATGACTTACGTTGGCAAGGCACCAGTGAGGATGAGACAGAATTGGATTGTTAGTAATGTGGATTAATAACCCTATTGCTAACAATGTCCCATATCAGGTTGATCTCCACCTAGAAACCATTGTGGTAAATTGCCATTTGCCAAAATTAGCTAACTGACCTGACTACATGCTCATGTTATCATCCTCTGGTGCTCCGGCAGCCTAGACTGTTGGCACAGTCCTTATTCCATTATTATTATCTAAATATATATAACTCAAATGTGACTGACATAGTGATCTATCAACGCACAGCCCAAATCGCTGGACGGATCGGGCTGAAATTTGGCATGCAGGTAGATGTTATGACGTATGCATCCGATAATAAAGGATTTTGATTAATTCTATCCCCAAGGGGATAAAATAGGGGATGAAAGTTTGTATGAAACTCTATCAATTTTAAACCGATCGGGCTGAGATTTTGCATGCATAAACTTACTATGACGTAGGCATCCCCATAGAAAGGATTTTGATAAATCCTCCTAACGCGAACAAAGCCGCGGGCAAAAGCTAGTCATCCATAAAATAAAACCCTTGAGTGGAGGATGATAGGATTAGCATACGGTCAGGTCAGTTTGTCAATTCATCATTAATTCACTAGGAATTTACCACGATACTTTCAAGGGGAACCGCTTGTCAGGATAACCTCCATCCTGACATAATACATTGCTAAATTCAAATTCAAATTCAAAAATCATTTATTCATGTAGGACATTTTAGCCGCTTATGAACGTGAATGGGGTTCACATTACTAACAATCCATTTTCCCTCAAGTAGTTTTATTTTTTAATTCATAATAATGGAATGATGCGCCCACCTGTGCTACCGGTTTACGGGGTTACTTGCGGGGTACCAGTTGTGAAGGATGGAGACCAAGACCACGAACAAAGAAAACGGCACCGGTACAGTCATAAAATAATTGTGTATTATATAAACATAAACATGGATGGAAAAAGGTATAAAAATAGTTCGCAACACCAGTGGAGGACGATGAGAAGGAGCTGAATATAAGGTCAGGTCAGCTTGTTTTCCATTCCATGTACAACACAAAACTTAATAGCATATGATGCTCCTCACTAAATTCATCCTGAACTTCTAATCTCTCTTAATCCTAAACTTTAATATATTTTTTTATTTATAATAATGTACAATCTCATTTGTAAATATTGAGTACACGGTTTCTTGTCAGTTCTCTATATTGCCTGTAATAGATCTATATGAATATGTATATTGTTTTAATTATTTATTACTTTTTTCAGTTCCATAACATCGGAGCTTTCAACGGTAAGTAAAATTATTGCCATTATTTTTACTTGCATATGAATGCGGTATGTAATCTTCTTGTAAATTTTACTACTGTTGTATCATTTTCCTTGACAAATAACGCCACTATCTTACGTTATTAAGATAAACAGCTTCTCTTTCCCCCATATATAACGAGTAGCTAGCATATTATACAACAATCTTAAATCAACAACTGATATGGATGCATTTTTTTTATAAATAAATACATATTATTAATAGAAAACACCCTGACAAACAAGCATACTCATGAATACAAATTTTGTACCATGCGAGGAATCGAACCCGAGACCATAGGATAGTGAAGCGATATTCTAAACCACTAGATCAGAGGCTGTCACCTTCGTATTCTAACAATCCCTTCCGCCCTCAGGCTTACTATTATTTGTGTCTATACCAGCCTGATGATACATACGATGTACGAGCTAATTGTGTTGATTGAATTTATACATATCTTGAAATATTAAAAATGTGTTTCATTAGTAACCACTTTTTTTTCCAGGAACGTTGTGTAACAATTACCCCGAACCTGTAAGTATATCTCTTGAGACTAGATAATATGGGTTAATAAAGTATGAAATTAGCTGTTCTACAGTAAAAGATATTTTGAAGTGATATATAACCTTCATTGTGTAATATTTTCGAGTGAAACTTTTTTCACTGCATACATATGAGATTCTTCTTTTCAAAAATGTGCAAAACAAAATTTTCGTCTTTCAGTTGTTTTTTTTATTCAGCTTATACGTGAAAGATACTTCGACAATCCGAGTCATTTTTTAAACGAATTCCGACGTGAACTAACACGGCAGAAACTTCTCGCAAAATCAACGTCACGTTAGAGAGGAGACTGTTAATGAAAGCATCGTGCTTTTTTGCTTTAAACGCTTTCGCAGTGTTAACTTCTACTGCAACGAATCACGTGACCACACAGGTGAATAACGCTGAATTGATGAAGTTGGTGGAGTCAAACTACTAGGAATTAATGGCATGCTTTAACGTTTACTTTACTTACTACTATACTTACTATACCTACATGAAGGAGGACTACTAGCCGAAGGGTATAGTGTATCGGCGCTACCGTGGCAGATTGCCGTTGTCAGTGCCGACCACACAGACAATATCAATATATTAGTCTTTAAATATTATTTCATATGTATCTTAGTTTATAAGGTATTTATAATATGGGTCTAGTTGCCGGAAATAAATAATAATATTTGACATCTTTTGCATCAAATCAATAATTTAAAAAAATTGATAATGGTTTACCCATGATTGATATACAGAAAGAAATGCGTGTTGAAACTTGTGTTGCCTTCTTGACTCGGTACAGAAATGAAGGAATATTGCATCGAATTGTGACATGTGACGAAAAGTGAATCCATTAAAATAACCGTAAGCGAAAAATGCAATGGCTGACCTTAGGTCAAACGCCGCAACTGTACCTTAAAGCAAAGCTTACCGAAAAAAGTAATGGTAACTGTTTGGTGGTCTCATCATGGTGTTATTGACTGTAGCTTCCTCAGGTATAGTCAAGCAATAGCAACAGAAGTTTACTGTTGAACTTCGAATAATAATGGTGAAACTGGCAGTGAAACAGCACTGACTCGAATCGATGTTCACCATTATTGCTGAACGATAACGCAAGACCTCTCACTGTATGTAAAACCTTTGTAGCTCTACAATTACAATTCTGCAGTTAGAAACCAGAGGATCACGTCTATACTCGCCAGACCTTACTCCAATAGTCGACCATTTTTCTCTCTGGCAATGGCGCGAATAGTGAAAATACACAGCATTTTTGGAAACTCTGGATACAAGGTCACTTGCTTTACATAATCGTGGTTACAAAAGTGGTTTACCAACTGTCGAAATCTGAATATCGGTGATCTTGTACTTACAAATTGCGATGCACTATCATCGAAATTGTCCTTGGGTCGCGTTTCAAAATTTGCATAAAGTTCCTGATACATAGTACGAGTGATCACTATACGTATAGCTAATAACCCCGAGTTTACTCGTCCGGTTTCTAAAGTTCCACCGTTCCACTTCCGTTGGATCAGGATTCAGATTAATATACTAAATAATAATTTAACAAAATGTTTATATTTCTTCATAAAATTTATTCACATTACACATATTATACAGTCCACTAATCTCGAGGTATATTTATACATTAGATATTTTAACTCTATTTTATGTAGACAACTTATTTATTTATAGAAATAGAAATAATCTTCATTCAAATAAACTTAATATAAGCATTTATGAATAGTCGCATTTATTTTTATTCTACCGCTCATTCGGAATGCAGATTCATCACAAGAAGAATGAAGAATAAACTTATATGTTGCTCTTTTAAACAAATATTATATACTTATATAATGTACATACTAGGGATTTTAATAAATTAATTTAAGGTCCTCTAGGGTACCAAGACTGGAACAGTGTAACTGGGAAATCTTGGCGAAATTCAGTGTGGGACATGTTGGGTTTTTGTAATGACTTGATTTTAGAAATTCCCCCCCCACCTGCACCCGGAGTAACGTTTGCACGAGAGATTCTGCTTGCGGCCGCATGTGCAATCGCCACTGTCGCTTGAACATGAACATCGAGAATGCGGATGCGAGTTTGTCTAAATTTGGCTAAATAATTAATACATATCACAAAGTGATCGAAACTGAGTACTTAACTGTAGAAACGGACACTTGCGTCTATAGCCGTCAAAGCGAAATTCACTATGAGGCATGACGGTAATAGCCGTCTAAAACGAAACGGTCAGTTTTGGACACAGCGGCTATAGCGGCACAAATGCGCACTTACCGGCGTATAAGTAGAAGCTTAGTGTCATGTTTTGGAAACAATTGTTTAGGTTGAATTTTGTTTTCCACCTGTTACACGATTTGCAGCTTCAGTATGCACGTGGTTGCGAGGGGAGTAGTGCGATCGTGTTTTCTCTTGAATTGTGTCAAAATTAAGTTTATTTAATCAGGAAAGGTGAAACTATACTTATTACATTCTAAAAATTACAAAATCATTAATAAGTTAATTTTCGAACTTCACTTGTTTCTACTGTCCGTGAATGTGTTAATAACATCAGAATGTTGTGAGTGCGTCTTTTATTTAGTCCCGGGACACGTACCAGGTGGTGGAACAATTAGGCGAGTCGCCATCTTTATCCAGCCATTCAATATTGAAAAATTGAGCATATCAAACAGGTATAAATATATTCAAGTTTTACTTATTAGTAATGTAACTATGGAAAAATATATTTGAATTTAAAACGTTTATCACTTAAAGTAATTTGTTTTTTTCTTTTTCAGAGCAATGAAAATAAATTCTTGTAGAGTCTGCGAAAATCTGGGGTATGTATTGCAAACTGAACTTTATAGATTATAGAATATAGAATAATAATATGACTTGCCCCTTTAAAATCCTAATAAAAATTGAATATGTGTGAGCATTTCGAAGCTTACTTAGGCTGTTGATATACAGTCGGTTAATTGTCAGGTTGTTCAAATGCGACTAACGTTCCCATGGATTCTGATTTCCACTTGATTGCTACGCTTCACCTTTTTCGCAGGTGTACAGAAAGTTAGTCATATTAAGGCAAATTGATAACTAATATGCTACATATCAGTAGAATTTATATTTATAAAGTCGTAAGTAAATTTACTTAAAAAGTGTAACTTCATTACATGTATAAAACAAAGTCGCTGTCGCTGTCTGTCCGCCTCTATATGCTCACATCTTTAAAACTACGCAACGGATTTTGAAGTGTTTTTTTTAATAGATAGAGTGATTCAAGAGGAAGGTTTATATGTGTAATACATGTACACCCGGACGAAGCTGGGGCGAGTAGCTAATATAGTTATAAAACCGAACATTGAAGGCATAAGTCGCTTTCTCTCATCTCATTTACTGATACATGTTGGATACAGGGCTTCTTGTTATATGTTAAAGATATACATATATAATTTGGATATTATAAAGTTGTTGGTTCCTTGCGTATACGACGGCTATTTGGTCTAGCGGTTTAGCACACCGCCTGACTGCCGATGGTCGCGGGTTCGATTCCTCGCAGGGCATAAACATTTCTTCATGAGTATGATTGTCTGTATCGGTCTGGGTGTTTTCTATGTATAGGTAATATGTATGTATTTACGAAAAAAATAATCTTATTAATTTGTATCAGTTATCTGTCTCTAGTACAAATACCATAACACAAGCTTTAGCTAGCTTAATTTGCGTCTAGATGGCGCTGTGTGAATTGTCCTGATTATTATTATACGTATGATCGCACACCCCTTTGTCTACCTCATGATGCCTCTCATTCTGTTATTTTATATTGGACATATTCTGAACTTTTGGAGAGGAGAATGATTTTTTTAAATGTTATTTATTTTTTAATTTTATTTTTCAGATACACAAAAACATCGACGCCAAGGTCAGTACCATACATTTACATTCTATAAATATAATGTTTGTTACTCTTTCACGCAAAAACTACAGAACGGATTTTGATGAAACTTTTAATAAAAAAAAATATATTTTGAAAAATTAAAGAAATAATAATTTGGTGTATGTATCGTATTTATATTCATATGTATGTGACACTCCAATTTTATTTATATGTATAGATTTCTAAAAACATTTTAATCCAATATAAATAAGCAATTATTTATTATACATTCCACATATAATTTATCCTTATATATTTTCGTATAGTACATATATCTATTTAATTTACAGCTTTAAACTCATTGTGAATAAATATACACACAATTTATTCACAATGAGTTTAAAACTATATAATTATTTATATTTTTATACAAAATTTTATATTATTGACTAATATTAACGGAAAGAAAACCACGAGTGTAATTATCTCAATCTATATATTAAGATTTAAAAAAATAAAAGGTCAATTACAACGAACTTAGACCTTTTGGTAGAAAAACAGGTTCTTAAAATATTATAGTTTGTTGATTAAAAGAACACATATATTTTACAGAATTACATCAGAGGACCTAATTGAGTCATTAACAAGCTAGTGAGTATAATTTTTATAAAACCTGTAAATAAACAGAAAGAAATGGCTTATAAGAAAAACATACAAATCAATGTTGCATATTCCATCTTAGTATTTTATGCGTACATCATTACTACAAAGTAATTTCACTTCCATAGTATTATCACCCAACAACCGAAAAACTGAAATTATACTAAATTATTTGTATTTCTTCAAATGAAATAAAATAAAAAAATAATTTATTCATGTAGGACTTTTAGAAGCTTGTGAATGAAAAGTTTTTAGTATTCCTAAACTTTTTGTGTATATATAGATATTTGTAATAATTATTTTTGTATTATATTATTTTTCAGTATATGTATTGATATATGTCCTTTATTTATTTATAGTCTAATTTATACGTTTCAATATCCAACTGTTAGTTGCGTTAGTGTTATCTACTCACTACCGGCTGTGCCGCGCTGTGTTGTGTTAACAGGAAGAGATCTCTTTTAGTGCTAAGTCCACCTTTCCTCAAATTGCATCTAATTTATATTGTTACTATAACTACTGGTCCAATAAAGAAAATATATCTTTCAGATCAACGCCAGCGGAAACAACTATCACATCTTCGCCATCTACAACGTTGTCGTGAGTATGTTTTTTATAACAAAGTACTAAGTCCACGTTTCGAGCACAATAGATCTATGTAGGTCGCAGTGCTACAGGTGCTACAAACATCTGACAATAGCCCAAATAACCCAATAACAAAAAAAGTCCACGTTTGCTCAAATTGCCTCTTATTAATATTGTTACTGTATCTATATAGTCCAATAAAGAAACTATATCTTTCAGATCAACGCCAACGGAAACAACATTGACGTCGCCTACAACATCATCGTGAGTATGTTTTTTATAGCATAGTATTTAAGAAAAGTGTTACATATGAATGTGGATGGTTATAAGGGCAGAGGAAGGCCGAAAAAGAGATGGATGGACTGTGTGAAAGATGATATGGTAAGAAAGGAAGTAAATAACGCGATGACTGCGAACAGAGATTAATGGAAGCGAAAAACATATTACGCCGACCCCAAATAAATGGGATAAGGAAGAAGCAGATGATGATGATGATGAGTATTTAAGCTTACGGTTCACCTGATGGTAAGAAATTACCGCCGCCCATTAGAACCCAAACCATGCAATTTCAAGTGCTTTGCCGGCCTTTTAAGAAGTAATAATAATTTATAAATTTTAAAACATTAAATTTGTTGATACTCTCTGTATAAGCTAATGATTATATTAAAATAATACATCAATAAACAGCTGGTATCTTAATATCGATTCCTGCATGTATTATTACAATAATACGAAATTATTTTCAATATAAAAATCTTACATTTCAGAACAACGACGCCGAAAAGCAGTACCACATCGATACCAACTAGTGTGTGAGTATTAATTCCTTAATATATGATTATTAATAAATATATATTACTATTGCTGTTACTATATTATATTTAAATTAACTTATAAAAAATATAATACTTAAATATTATAATTTAGAAACTTATTTTTGTAGGTTTCCATGAGAGAAGATAACATCAAAATCATCAACTACGTAGTCGTGGATATTTTTATTTCTTATGTATTAAGTTATGATTTTAATACAGCTTGATTAATTGATAAAATAATAATAATATGTATCTATAAAATTTCTGTATCTATTATTATAATCAGTTATATATTATCTACATTTCAACTGAGGTCTTTGTAGACTTTGTTAAAAGTTGTCTACATGGGTACCTCAGTCTCACCTACTGCATCCGCCAGGAACCTTGTATTGTAAGATATTTTATACGCTTATGAATGAAACGCTTTTTGTATTTCTATTTATTCATGTATTTATAACAATGTAACGGCTTGTATGAATTAGAGTTTTATCCAAATTAAAAACTTGTTTTTTTACACTGTACACCTTTTCTAAAAGTTGGGCTAAAAAGGACTTGTCTCCAGAGCCGTAAAACATATTAATAAAAAAAAAAGAAGCACAGATACAATTATACAATGCAGACAACTAGTTTATACAGATTATGATAGTATGAAGCTAGAACAGAAGAGAAGAAGAAATTTACAGTAGAATTATGAGATAATAAATATAAGCAAATGGAAGCAGCACGCATTCACCCTTGATACTGATAAAACAATGGCGGCGTGAACCGATCTAAAATTTAAAACCGAAAATTTTGAATTTTGAATGGTCTGGTAGCCTATTTCGCCTCCAGCTTGCATTCAAACAAAACCGGTGTTCCATACCAATCCGTTAACACGCAAGCTCATATATCGAGATGTCGAGACATGTGGTGCACTCGATTTCGCTTTGAGTATTAAATATATTTTATCTTCGGGCTACTTTAATGATGTTACGCTGCTGGGCTTTACAGTTTTACCGGGCGATAGGGGGCGACTACAGATGGTAATCCAAACCTGCGGTACCTGATGGTATTCCAAATTCTAAAAACGATATGTGTATGTTTTTATGTGTGGAAAAACTTCCAAAGAATATAGACCCGTCGAAGAGTGGTCAAGTCATTTGTGGGATTTTTAGCCACTAAAAATCATACAGCGTTCCACTAGCGGCGGCAAGTGGTCGCCAGTTCGATTCCTTTTTCAGACTACTGTAATGCTGTTGGCCTTTACAGCCTCACCGAACGATAGAAGGAGAGTGCAGATGGTACTCCAAATACGCACTTATCCAAATCCTAGCACTTATGGAGCGCCCAACTCCCGCCTCACGGATACGAATTTTGCCTGAGTGCACCGATAGGGGTTCGAATCTCTGCTCAGGCTGTCGTTATTTCGATCCGAATTCGCATAGTCCTCCAATCCATTCACGCGCAAAAACATATATATCGAGATATGTTGTGCTCTGGGTTTCGCTTTAAAGATAGCATATAAATTATTTTATACTATACAAAACGTACATATATTTATAAATTGGAAATTTATATATGTATATGCTAATTATATCCACACTATCTACAATAATTATGTTTATATTTATATTATACTTCAGTATATCTATTGACAAACGTGCTTATTATTTTTTGTTTAATTTCTCGAATTTCAAATAATTATTGTTAAATTTGTACAAATTGCCTATAATTTATATTGTTACTGCAACTACTGGTCCAATAAAAAAAATATATTTTTCAGATCAACGCCAGCGGAAACAACTATCACATCTTCGCCATCTACAACGTTGTCGTGAGTATGTTTTTTATAGCAAAGTACTAAGTCCACGTTTCGAGCACAATAGATCTATGTAGGTCGCAGTGCTACAGGTGCTACAAACATCTGACAATAGCCCAAACAACCCAATAAAAAAAAAAGTCCACGTTTGCTCAAATTGCCTAATATTAATATTGTTACTGTATCTATATAGTCCAATAAAGAAACTATGTCTTTCAGATCAACGCCAACGGAAAGAACATTGACGTCACCTACAACATCATCGTGAGTATTTTTTATACCTCATTATTCAAGCTTGCAGCTCACCTGATTGTAAGAAATTACCGCCGACCATGAGAACTCAAAATACCAGGGTAACTGCAAGTGCGTTGCCGTCCTTTTAGGAAGTTTATATGGTTGCTGCAAGGTTGATTAAAAAATCGTACTGAGCAATAAACTTATTAACTTTGTTGATGATACTGTATTTCTTGGTGTCACATTAGACGCCAAACTGCAATGGGGAGCTCATATTTCTAAATTAGCGAATATACTTAGTTCTGCCGCTTATGCGGTAAAAAGAATTAGACAATTAACAGACCTGGCAACGGTTAAACTCGTTTATTTTAGCTATTTTAATAGCATTATGTCATACGGTATTTTATTATGGGGCAAAGCGGCTGATATAAATACAGTATTTATTTTGCAAAAGAGGGCCATCCGCTCCATTTACGGTATGGGTTCCAAGGAGTCTTTGCGTGAATGTTTTAAAGAATCAAATATCCTCACCGTTGCTTCTCAATACATCTACGAAAATATTATGTATGACAGGAAAAACATTAACAGTTTTAAAAAAGTAGGTGACTACACTAATAAAAGCCTACGTAATGTCAACAAACTAGTTTTACCTAAGTGCCGTTTGACGAAAGTTAGTAATCGTTTTATGGAAATTGCGTAAGATTTTACAGCAAACTCCCAGAGTCTGTAGTCAATTTGCCAGAAAAAAAATTCAAATGTGTCATAAAATATTTTCTTTGTAAAAAAGCTTATAAAAATGACTGAATAAATGATAATAATGTTTTTGTAAAAAATATCTAACTCAAAATTCATAGCGCTGACTATGTTATCAGATTGAACAGAGATTAAGTGCGTAGCGGTTTCTGTGTTGATTGTCGTATGCCTAATCCTTGTTAATTAACAACAACTTTCTTACTTAATCTTCTTGTGATGAATATGCATTCCGAATAAGTGGTAGAATAAAAAAATTTGACTATTCAAAACTGCTTATATTAAGTTTATTTGAATAAAGATTATTTCTATTTCTATGACATTTAGAATTTCGAAATTTGTACTGTAAACAGCAAATAGCTTATAAGAAAATATAACATAACAACTAATTCATCAGTCACATCTTTGCCGCGAGTATTACTTGTATACTCTCTGTATAAACTAATAATTATAATAAAACAAAACATTTTAATACATCAATAAACAGCATGTATCGTAATATCGATTCCTGCGTTTATTACTGCAATAAGTTAGAAATTATTTTCAATATAAAATCTTACATTTTAGAACAACGCCAGAGAAAAGCAGTTCCAACATAAGTAGTATGTGAGTATTAACTCCCTAATATATAAATTATAATAATCAATCAGTCAATCATCAACTACGTTGTCGTGGATATTATTTTTATTCCCTTTGTATTAAGTTATGATTTTAATACAACATTAATAAAATAGCAATAATAAGTATCTATCATTTCAATTGAAGTAGACTTTGGAAAAAGTCGTCTGCACCTCAGTCTCATTTACTTCATTCGCCAGAAACCTTGTTTTGTAAGACATGTTTCCGTTTTAGGATGAGATAATCAGGTATATAGGCAACAGTTATCACTTACCATCAAGTTGTCGTTAACTTATCTGCCATTCTAATTACATAAAAATATATAAAAACTTATATTTCACATCCATAGTTATGAAAACAAACATCACATTGACGTCACCTACACTGTTGCCGTGAGTATGAATATACTCGTGTTGTATAGATATTCATACTCACGGCAACATTATTTCATGTAAATTATACCCCTCATGCGTTGTCAAAAAATCTTCGTACTTTATGCCTACGTCATAACTACAAAGTAATTTCACTGCCATATTATTATCTTACCCACCAACCGAAAAACTGAAATTATACAAAATTTTTTGTATTTCTTCAAATCAAATGAAATCAAAAAATCTTTTATTCATGTAGGACATTTCAAAAGCTTGTGAATGAAAAGCTTTTTGTATTCCTAATCTTTTTGTGTATAGATGTTTGTAATAATTATTTTTGCATTTTTATTATATTTCAGTATATATGTATTGATACAGGTTCTTTATTTGTTTTTAGTTTAATTTGTACATTTCAATATCGACTGTTGACTGGACGAGATCTCTTTTAGGGCTAAGTCCATTTCTCTCTTATTAATATTATTGCTATACCTACTGATGAAAAATTGTTTTTCAGAGTAATACCAGGAGAAGCAAGTAACACATCAACGTCACCTACAACGCCGTCGTGAGTATGTTTTTTTATAGCATGGTATTCAAGCTTGCGGTTCATCTCATGGTAAGAAATCCTTGCCACCCATGAGAATCCAAAATACTTGGGTAATTGCAAATACGTTGTCGGCCTTTTAAAAAGGAATAAGCAATTTATCAATTGTAAAATAGTAAATTTATTGATTTATATAAGAATGTTGTAAATAAAAATGATATAATATATTAGAAGCATAGTATAGTAATAATTTTCTTCAAGTTTTCGGTATCTTAACGTTATGCTTTTATTCTTTTACTAACTGTAAAACTAAACAGGAGCAAGTTTATAAGATAATCTGAAGTTTGACATTTAATCGTTTCCAAAGTTGTGTTAATGTTATAATTAAATAATTCGCTTAATACTGTTAAAGTAAATAACAACTAATTCACCAATCACACCTTTGCCGCGAGTATTACTTGTATACTCTCTGTATAAAACAAAACAATTTAATACATCAATAAACAGCAGGTATCTTTATATCGATTCCTGATGTATTATTGCAATAAATAAGAAAATATTTTCAATATAAAAATCTTACGTTTTAAAACAACGTCAGAGAAAACCAGTTCCAACATAAGTAGTATGTGAGTATTAACAGCCTAATATATAAATTATAATAATCAATCAGTCAATCATCAGCTACGTTGTCGTGGACATTATTTTTATTCCCTTTGTATTAAGTTATGATTTTAATATAACATTGATAAAATAGCAATAATAAATATTTATCTTTCTTCCTAATCTTTTTGTGTATAGATTTGTAATATTTTCTATATATATTATATTTCAGTATATATGTACTGATAAATTCTTTATTTATTTTTAGTTTAATTAGTGCATTTCAATATCCAACTGTTAGTTGCGTTAGTGTTATCTACTCTCCAGTGGCTATGCCGCGCTGTGTTGTGTTGACTGGACGAGATCTCATTTAATGCTAAGTCCACCTTTGTGCAAATTGCCTCTTATTAATATTGTTACTGTATCTACTGATACAATAAAGAAAAAAAAAAATTTTCAGAAAAATGCCAGCAGAAGCAAGTAGCACATCGACGTTATCTACAACGTCGTCGTAAGTATGTTTTTTATAGCTTAACATTCAAGCTTACGGCTCACCTGACGGTAAGAAAATATCGCCACCTATGACACTCAAAACACCAGGGTAATTGCAAGTGGGTTGCCGGCCTTTTAAGAAAGAACAAGCAATTTAAAATTTGTAAAACAGTAAATTTATTGATTTATATAAATACTATATATGTATAAATAATAGATATATAAATAATTATCTTCAAAGTTTCGATATTCGACCAAGGTGGTAGAGTGTGATGGCAGCTATGACTGCCTCCTGCTGTATTTATGAGTCAAATTGTATTCTGTTGAGAGCCATTTCCGCTGCTGTTGTTCAGGTTGTCTCTATACATTCAGTAACTGATGAGTAAGCAAGCCTCAGAAAAATATTAACATAAAAATCTTATATTTCAGATCAACGACAACGGAAAGCAGTTATACGGACCCAATTAACGAGTGAGTATTAATTCTTTAATACATTAATATAGTTAATATATAATTAATAATAATTATGTCAATCAGAAGCTATGTTATCGTGGATATCATTTTTAATACCTTTCATCAGTCAAATTTCTGTATGTATATATTATTTACAAGAAAATATAATTAAATAACTCACTTAATTATATTAAAGTAAATAACAACTAATTCATCAGTCACACATTTGCCGCGATATTATTATAGACATTGCTTGTAGATATTGCTTTGTAGATATTGCTTGTAGACTCTCTGTATAAACTAATGATTATAATTAAACAAAACATTTGAATACATCAATAAACAGCAGGTATCTTAATATCGATTCCTGCATGTATTATTGCAATAAGTTAGAAATTATTTTCAATATAAAAATATTACATTTCAGAACAACGCCGGAGGAAAGTAGTTACTCAGACCCAACTACTGTGTGAGTATTAATACCCTAATACATATTTAATAATAATAATAATAAATTATGTTAATCATCAGTTACGTTGTCGTGGATATAATTTTTATTCCCATTATATTAAGTTAGGATTTTATTAAAAAAAATATAAATTAGTAATAATAAGTATGTATCAGTGAAATTTCTGTATATAATATTGTAATCAGTCGTAAATTATTTACATTTCAATTGAGGAAAACTTTGTAAAAAGTCGTCAACAGGTCAGGTGGTACCTCAGTCTCACCTACATATTTCGCCCGCCAGGAACCTTGTTTTGTAAGATATGTTACACTTGAAGGATGAGATAATCAGGTATATAGGCAACAGTTACTACTTACCGTCAGGTCGGTCGTCAAATTATCTACCATTGTAATAAAAAAACTTATATTTTAGATCCATAGTTACAAAAATTAACATCACATCGACGTCACCTACACTGTTGCCGTGAGTATGGATATACTCGTGTTGTATAGATATTCATACTCACGGCAACATTATTTAATGCGAACTGTACCCCTCATCTGTTGCGAATTTTTTTTGTATTTTATGCCTACGTCATAACTACAAAGTAATTTCACTGGCATATTTATTATCTCGAAAAACTGAAATTATACTAAATTTTTTGTAAAAAAATGAAATATTTATTCGATTTAGTACCTAATCTTTTTGTGTATAGATGTTTGTAATAATTATTTTTGCATTTTTATTATATTTCAGTATATATGTATTGATGTTCTTTATTTTTGTTTAATATATGTATTTTTTTTGTATTTTATGCCTACGTCATAACTACAAAGTAATTTCAGGTATATATGTAGTCATATATAGACCCTTTGAATGCAAACCTTTTAGTATGTATGTTATTTTTGGGTATATGTAGGTATATATGTAGTCATATATATTCTATATTTATTTTTAGTCTAATTTGTACATTTCAATTTCCAACTGTTAGTTGCGTTAGTGTTATCTACTCACTATTGGCTATGCCGCGCTGTGTTGTGTTGACTGGAAGAGATCTCTTTTAGCGCTAAGTCCACCTTTGCTCAAATTGCATCTAATTAATATTGTTACTGTATCTACTAGTCCAATAAAGAAAATTTATTTTTCAGATCGACGCCAACGGAAACGACATCTTCGTCACCTACAACGTCGTCGTGAGTATATTTTTTATACCACAGTATATAAACTTGCGGCTAAGCTGATGGTAAGAAATTACCGCCACGCACGAGAACTCAAAATACCAGGGTAATTGTAAGTACGCTGCCGCCCTTTTAAGAGGACATAAGCAATTTATAAATAGTAAAACAGTGAATTTATTGATTTGTATAAGAATATTGTACACAAAAATATTGTAATAAATTAAGAGCATATTATATAAATAATTTTCTTCAAGGTTACGATATCGTAACGTTATGCTTTTTACACCATAGACTAAGATGGTCGGGTCTGATGGCAGCTATGACTGCTTCCTGCTGTATATATAATAGGTTGAAGGGTATTATGTTGAGAGCCATTTACATTCCTGGTGTTTCCATACATCCAGTAACTGATGAAGAAGCAAGCCTCAGAAAACACTTTAGCTTGTTGATGGAGGTCTTGAGCGACGTCCTAGTCCACCAAACCAAACCCCCTTAGATTAGCATCCATTCATTAATTCCAGAGAAGATTCGTATATAGTATAACTCCCAGATACTTGACTTATTTATTTAGTTTAAGTTCTGTGTTAAAGAGTTTCGGTAGTCTAAGGGCACCTGGAGATCTTTTGCTTGTAAACATTCAGAATTCAGTTTAGCGTAAGCACGATCTATGTTAGTAAATAAATAATAATAAGAAACCTGTAGAATTGTTCGCAAATTTTGTTTTCCACATTGTGAGTATGACTTTTTTACTATAAGTAAAAAAATATTTTCAACGTAAAAATCTTACATTTCAGAACAACGCCAGAGGAAGGCAGGTCCACATCGATCCCAACTAGTGTGTGAGTATTAATTCCATAATACATTATATGATTAACAAGAATTATGTATTACCATTGCTGTGACTATATTTTTCCAATTAACTTCAGTATTGTAATTTTAAAACTTATTTCTATAAGTTTCCATGTGAGAAAATAACATCTAAGTCATCAACTACGTTGTCATGGATATTATATTTATTCCCTTTGTTTTAAGTTATGATTTTAATACAACATAACTAGTAATTTCACTGCCACGTTATTATCTCACCCACCAACCGAAAAACTGAAATTATACTAAATTATTTGTATTTCTTCAAATCAAATGAAATAAACAAAGTAATTTATTCAAGTAGGACATTTTAGAATGAAAAGCTTTCTGTATTCCAAATTGTTTTGTGTAATTATTTGTAACAATTATTTTTGTATTTATATTATATTTCAGTATATATGTATTGATGTATGTTTTTATTTATATTTTGTTGAATTTATGCATTTCAATTTCCAAATGTTAGTTGCGTAGTGTTACCTACTCACTACGGGCTGTGTTGTGTTGAGTGGAAGAGATTTCTTTTAGGGCCAAGTCCACCTTTGCTTAAATTGCCTCTTATTAATATTGTTACTGTACCTATTAGTCCAATAAGCAAAATATATCTTTCAGATTAACGCCAACGGAAATAAGTAACACATCGACGTCACCTACAAAGTCGTCGTGAGTATGTTTTTATAGCAAAGCACTTGTAGGTTTGAAATTACCACCGCCTATGAGGACCAAAACACCAGGGTAACTGCAAGTGCGATGCCGCCCTTTTAAGATAGAATAAACAATTTATAAATATTATTATATAAATATTATATGTTTATTATGATATAATATATTAATAATATGATATACTAAAAGACAATATGCTTTTAATGTATCATATTATTTTTATATACAACAAACTTACATAAATAAATTAATTTACTTATATAAATAATATTTATAAATTGTTTATTCTTTCTAAATAATTTTCCTTAAGGTTTAGTTATCACAACGTTATTCTTTTTACCACATAGACCAAGATGGTAGAATCTGATGGCAACCGTGACTGCGTCCTGCTGTATATATAGGTCAAAGGGCGTTATGTTGAGTGCCATTTCCATTGCTGTTGTTGGGGGTTGTTTCGGACTTCGGTAGTAGGGCTCCTGGAGCTCATTTACTTTTAAATTTGCCTTGAGAATGATCTATGTTAGTAAAATGAATAATAATAATAATAAACCCGTGGAATTTTTATGTGGAAACCGCAAATTTGTCATACTTATATATTTAATCTAACGCTCAATCGGAAACCTCAGTCAGTCAGCTCAGTTTCATTTCAAGAAGGACAAGCAAGAAACTTGCGTGTTGCTCTTTTATATAAATATTTTAATTACATTTCTAAGTTGGAATGTGTTAATACAAACCATTAATTAGCACTAATTCATTAGTGTAAAAATATTAAATGCAAAATCAACTGATTAAGTAACTAAATAAGATTAAATTAGTCGCAGTGAGAAGAACGGACCAGTCCCTGAAGTAGCATTCGTTCAGGAGTATAGACTCCTGAATGAGTGGTGCTTAAGGGACTGGTCTGTTCTGGACTCTTCTGGAATGTACAACACTATTATTACACATTCTCTATTGTTATATATACGACAATATCTGTATGTTCTAGTTGACACACTATTCTATAACATTTTCTATGTTTTCTGGAAAAATCTCTTTTTACAGATAAGCTCGTCTCATATTTACCACTGTACCCGCGACTTCGTCCACGTGGAATTTAACTTTTTTTTCTAAAACAAAAGTAGCCTAAATTACTCCTTATCATATTAGTTACCTGCAAAAAAAATCCCGTCAAAATCGGTCCAGCCATTTCGAAGTTTCTGGAACAAACAGATAGACAGACAAACAAAAATGTCGAAATAGATCCAGCCATTTTAGAGTTTAGCTGGAACAAACAGACAGACATACAAAAATTTTGAAAAATATTATTTTGGTATATGTACCGTATTTATGTACAATTGTACATGTAGTAAAAAATGGTTATTTCAATATTACAAACAGACACTCCAATTTTATTTATATGTATAGATATGTCTGTTATTTTCCCATGGTGTGTAGAATAAGGAAATGTTTTTCAATTTCACTTTGAGAATAATAAATTTAAATTTTCAGAGACAAATTATCGGAAGCTGAAAAACAGATTCGGCGGGAGCGTGAGAAAAGGATAATTCTGATATTGCTTGGCTCATTATTTGCCGCTGCATGTGTCATAGCAGTCAGCAAATATATGTACTCGAAGTACAGAAGAAGTTACAGTAATAATAATAAACTTTATTATATTTTATATATAGTTGCAACCACTGCCTCAGATCTTTCAGCCTCTAACAAGTCTGCTTTATATTATGCTACGTTTACATTCAGTCGCTTCCTGCCTCTGACGCTGCCGGAAATATGGCTGGGTGACAACTGACCGAGAGGGCTGAATGTAAAAACACGCTGCCACTCGCGCTGCCAGTCCTTTGACTCGCGCAATCGGGGGAGCGCCGGGCAGCGCGAGTGGTAGCGCCAATGCCATGGGAAGTGTTTCCACTCGTGTTTACACTCTCGCGCTGCTCACTTCCCTGCCCACTCTGGCTGAGTGTAAATTGGGCATTACAAGCTGTGCCCGCGGTTCGTGTAAATTGGGCATTACAAGCTGTGCTCGCATTGAATTTTAGTACATAAATTTCAATATAAAATATAGCCTATCTGTAATTCTGATAAGCTATATTACTGTAAAGTTTCACTAAAATCCGTTCAGTAGTTTTTACGTGAAAGAGAAACATACATCCATACAAATTGACAAACTTGGTCGGGTAAAATATTATACATCAATCATATTAACATGTTTTGATGATACAATTATATGCACTACTAGTTGACCTGCGCAATTAAATATCACACTTAATTGACATTTATCATAATAAGAGGCGATGTTAATATATTTTTGGAATGACAAAAATGAATGACGTTATAGTAGTTTAATGCCAACTATGCCCGATCGGTTTAATAAAACTTTTATCCCCTTAGGGATAGAATTAATCAAAATCCTTTCTTATCGGATGCCGTCATAACATCTACCTGTTCGATCCGTCCAGTGGTTTGGGCTGTGCGTTGATAGATCACTATGTCAGTCACTTTTGAGTTATATATATTTAGATTTCGCCCGATTTACATACTATCAGCCTATTATGTCATTCTGATGTATAACCTACATTACTGTAAAGTTTCACCAAAATCCGTTCAGTAGTTTTTGCGTGAAAGTGTAACAAACATCCATACTTACAAACTTTCGCTTTTTATAATATTAGTAAGAATAATTTTCATGCAAAAACAGGGAAAGGTAAGAAACAGGTAACAGTCATAGACAATAGAATGCATTATGTCGATGGTTATTACCAATACTAGCTAACTTTCCCAACTTCGTCTTCGCAAAATGTTCTCGAACTTTCCAATATTTTTCATTGATGCTGAGCTACAAGTAATCCGATTACTTGCAGCGTAATGTTATATAGCGTAGAGTCCTGTTCTATAGCTTATATCCTCGACAAATGAGCTATCTCATATTAATATAATTTTTCAATTCTCTCCAAGACTTTCTAAGATTTATTTACTAGCTGTTCCCGCGACTTCGTCCTCGTGGAATATAACTTTATTTTTGTTAATTAAAAGCTTTTTTCTAAAATAAAGTAGTCTAAGTCACTCCTTAGTACGTCAGCTACCTACCAAAAAAGGTCTCATCAAAATCGGCAAGCCATTTCAGATATTAACCGGAACAAACAGACAGACAAAAATTGTAAAAAATGTTATTTTGATGTGTGTACCGTATTTATATTCATGTGCACGTGGTAAAAACGGTTATTTCAATATTATAAACAGCTCACTTTAGTATAGTACATTTTTGTCTAAGTTCTAATACCTGCCTAAACTACTTTATCTTAGAATGTTTTGTCAAGTAATCGTGTCCTTAGTACCTAATATACCTACATATTTATATGAGTACTATCCTTGGCTTTCAGTTACGTATAGGATAGGATTCTTTTTTATTTTATTTTATAACACAGGGGACAAACGAGCATGCGGCTCACCTGATGGTAAGTGATTACCGCCGCCCATGAGGATGTAGGATATATCTAGAACTAGCTCCGGTCTTTGGTACAGTACTATACATTTATATATATTAAATACTAACATAATTTTATAAGTTTTTACTAACACAATATGGATGTAATCGAATTAAAATTAAATAAATAAATAAATAAATATACTATAAATAGCAATGTGAATGTGCAAATGTGAATTTTTAAATATATAACATTGTATTTTTTACAGATATGTCAAATTTCGAGATGAACGGCCATTAGTAATATTGATGAGAAGAGAAAGTGGGCTTTACATATAATATTTATATTTTGTAATCTAACGTCATACTATGCTAGAGTGCGTGTTCCAAGAGATTAATGTAGCCATCTTTTTTATGTACAAACCAATTATATTGAATATTAAAACTTAGAGAAAAGTACGTTGTTTTCTTTTTCTCATTTTATACTTTAACTAGTTAAAAACATGTAGTAGCTAGCTACTCGCCCCGGCTTCGCACATGTACCCGTACTATATATATAAATCTTTTTCTTGAATCACTCTATCTATTAAAAACAACGCTTCAAAAACCAGTTTTAAAAGATTTAAGCATACATAGGGACAGACGGCGACAGCGATTTTGTTTTATACTATGTAATGATGATAATTTTGGTCCGGCCACATACTATCATCCTTCATGTAGGAGGACTACTGGCTGAAAAGAGTGGTGTATCGGCGCTACCTTTGCAGATTGCCATCGTCACTACCATGACTACAGAGACAATTTATAATATTATAACACACATAGTTAATTCACAACAAACTTATTTATAACTAGCTGTGCCCGCGATTTCACTCGCGTTATATTTCAATGTGTAAATCTCAATAAAAAATATAGCCTATGAGATATTCTGATGCATAAGCTATATTACTTTATAGCTTAATTTTGACCCTTATTGAATTTACATCCATATTACAACACGTGTTTTACATTTCAACGATGCATCATTAGATAATGAATAGTTTGGAAGTTTTTTTTACTTGGGGAAAATTCTCATGGAGATCCTCCCCGGGGAGGTAAATGGGTACTACTGGATCTTAAGGTGCTAATGACCCATAGGTTTTCCCTCTCTTCGCCTACTGCCAGGGTTACGGGAAACCGCGAACAGCCTTCCGTAATCTCGACGATAGTTTCGAAGCCTAGTTTTGACTGTTCGGCGACCAGACTACGACAGTTCTCATAGTATGTATAAATAGAATAGAATAGAAAATCATTAATTGAAATAAAGTTACATTGAAGCACTTTTGAATAGACATCACTTTTTTAATCTACTGCTAATTCGAGAAGCTGTCTCATCATATGAAGAAGTTATGGTTATAGAAGCTATGATTTCAAGATACAGACGTTGAATCATAATTATGTCATTATCTTATAAAGCTATTAATATACAACATAACTAATAAATCTAATAGATTAATCAGTATGTATTTCCATAATAATCTTTTATAAATGGTTTCGGTGGTTTATAGGATGACAACAAATTGTGTCCCAAAATTTATGGATTAATATAGTAATAATATCGCAGGTCAAATCACACAGCGCCATCTAGTCCTGAGCTACAACTGATAAATACTTAGAAATTTTTTTGGGGACCATGGGTCCAGGTTGGGCGCGTCCCGCTCCTCAACCGTGGCAATGGTGGCCCGCTCCTGCCGAGACTACACCTATTGTAGAAAACGTGCGAAGCGTGCGCGGCCCAGTGTGGGCGGCAGTCTTGTGTGGGTTCAAGTCTGCCGTCAAGACAACAGAAGCCGAGATGGGGTGGCGGGAGGCGCGTCCCGTATTCCGTTTCCCATAGGAGGAACTAGGAAGAGTTCCGCCCACACATTGAGGAGGTCCCGCTTGAGGGCAACCGCCGCGCTGCTGGGGTCGCAGTTGATTGCAAACTAGTTCCTGCGACCCCGGCACTATAGCAGCGAGGAGGAATGCCCTGGGATTTTTAGTGAATAGTATACTCACAGTACTCGTCCGTCCAACCACTGAGATGGATCCTTGAGGTATTTGCCTCATGTTAAAAAAGAAAAAAGATAGCCACCTATCTTTTTTCTTTTACACAACCAGATATCAGTCATCAGTCCACACAACACTATCTTCTACTCTTACACTTTCTCATTGGTTAATCTAAAATAAAGTAAGAGTTAATTACGTCAATTATTACTACTGTACTAATACGAACATTATTACTGTTGAAATTTATAATTTAAATTAGTTATTGTCGAATTTCGACCATTGGACGACCACTAGTTCTTTTAGTTCTCATGTAATTAATATTCATAGACACCCTAACTATTGTATATTAATCATTGTTCTATACAAGCCACAATTACCATAGTGATTGCTAAATAATTTAGTCAAAACAGTGAAGCACGGGAACTGATATACATATCTGTGTCACGATGGCCAGAAGTAATTTGTTTAATTTGGTTTTACTATTTCTTTGTCTAAATGTATATTACGTTGAGTGTCAAATATGTCGAAGAGCAGAAAAGTATGTAATAATATTAATTTCTCCATAAATTTGTTATTAATTTTTCTCTTAATTTTTTTATGAAATATCCCAATTGAGTAAGAAAATTACTTAATTGGGATATTCATTCATATAGTTCTATTACAGACTCTTATGATACGTCAAATCTACCATCAGTTGGAATGATATCAAAATGAGAAGAACTAATAAGAAACTCAGCTCGTATTCTTTTCAAATAAATGTTGTACATGTTTACAATAATATACATTAATTTTTAAAAACAAATTTGGGAGAATATAATGACCACCAGCATATGCTGCGATATGTATAGCACGATATATAGATGTATAGCACGATATGTTGTTGATAGAATTTCTTCCTATTTCTTTATTCTGTCTTTTATATTTTAGAAAAAAAATTGATAAAAAAATAACTGTAATCAAAACCAACACGGTTACATATACTAAACCAAATTGTTGGGTGTACTGTACAAAAACCATAACCAAGTCGTTTGTGGGTTATAAAATTGTTCCGGTAAGTATTTTCTTCATATTTTGGCAAGGATAATATATGTATAAAATTCTAGTGTGATAGTGTTTGTAATAAAACTCCTCCGAATAGTTTGACCGATTCTTATAAAATTGTGTGTATATTTAAAAAGTCTGAGATTGTACGTGAACTATTTTTATATCTCTCAGTGTTAAGAGTGAATATTGGCATAGATGGGTTTCAAATTCAAATTCAAAAATCATTTATTCATGTAGGACATTTTAGCCGCTTATGAACGTCAAATGTTTACATTATAATTTTAGTTTTTTTCCTACCGTCCCGTTCAGTATATACCTAGATCCAATTGAGAAGAACTAGCAAGAAACTCAATTGAATTACTTTTTTTTTAAAAGCCTGTCTATTTATAATGTATATTTATATTGGTGTCTATGTCTAATATTAAATGCATACAGTGCATGAACAACTATTGCCATGCACGCTCGTCATTCAAGTAATCGTTTAGTGAGTAATAGGCTTTGCCCAATAAATATGATTTAACAGATGTTTTGAATTAATTTAAGGGTAATTCCAACATATCCTTTGGTATCTTATTGTAAATTTTTATACCTATTCCCTTAAAAGACCTATTGACTTTTTCTAAACGATACTTGGGTTTGTCCTGGGTAATTATTTTTGTTTTCAATATTTATGAATGCTGTGTACAACTTTAGAGTACGCAAGAATAAGTTTAATTACAGGACAGGACCGATTTTCTATATGATATACTAGCTGAGTCGTGCAGCTTTGTCTGCATCACACTTACTTGATAATTATCATTATATGTACATCGCCCAATTTACATAGTATCTTTTTAGACTATAGCCTATATGTTATTCTGATATATATGCTATATTACTGTGAAGTTTCATAAAAATCGGTTCATACTTAGTTCCATCCATACTCATCAACATTCGCTTCTATAATATTAGTAAGATTTTGAATTTTGTTTGTGAATTGATTGGAATGAAACTAAATGTTATATATTATTGAAATTGTAGTATACAAAGGTGGAATATATTGACGAATGCTGTCCTGGCTATGAAGCTACATATACAGGATTTTTGTTGTTCCGGTACGTATATTTTTGGTAATTTTAACTGGGTATAATATTGGATGGATGATTAAAATATATATATAAAATAGAAGTCTTAAATCAAGTAGATTCACAATTAATACTATTACCGTATATATATATACCGCTTCGATTTTCTCTAATGCAGTAGAAAAGTAATTAAGTAATAATAACATAGCCCCGCCATCCCTCCGGCGGGGTGATGCCTCTAGAAGATTTTCCACATGTTAAAAAAAGGGGTATCCTGGTACAGTGGTCCATGGTCTGACATTTTAGTACTTCAAAATGGCAATAAATGATAGCATACGCCCCATGCATGCATGATGACGTGATGTCCTTGGTCCTTTCATATATGTTCGTGACTTTAGCCACGTACCATCAGATACCAATTTTTCGAATTAGTTTCTCCCATGTTCAGACAAACTAACCCAGAGACATTCTTAGTATATTGCTTTGTCTCTTTGCATTCTGATGCCTTGTGTCCTGGTTTATGACACTTGAAGCACTTAAAAGTCATCTGGTTACGATCGGTTGGTTTTTTATATGATCCCGCAGATTTTCGTGCTTTATTTACAGATAGAGCTTGTACTTCACTTGAGTTTCCTTCCAACTGTCTATTCGATTCCTATAGCAGTTTGGTTTTTATTTGCTCAAGAGTAATTGTTTTGCCACAATTATCTACAGCCATTATGAGCGGGTTATATTCCGCAGTCAAACCACTTAACATGATGGAAATAATCCAATCATCTGATATTTCTGCATCAATATCAGCTAACTGCAGCGATAAGTATATTATTTGCGATATATACTTATTCATAGAGTCGAAATTTTCAAGTTTGCATTGCCAAAGCTGTCGCTGTAACGTGATGCGTCTTCCCCAACCTTTATCCTCAAATGCTCTGCAGAGTCTCAACCATAATTCTCTAGCAGTCTTCGCATTATATACATGAGTAAAACATGAGGAATCTAATAATAAACAAATCGTAGTACTGGCTTTACGGTCGTCGTCTTTGAATTTGTCATCAAAGTATTCCAACTCTATTATCTTCCATAAATCCTTATTTTCAAGATAATTACGTACTTGAAATTTCCAGTTGGGAAAGTCCGAAGCACCCTTGAGTTTCATGATACCGTACATTCCATGACTCGACGTATCGTCATCTGCCATTTTCAGAATTTTGATTTGTTTTCACCACTATATTCTAGAATTCACTAAATTATATTCACTTTAGTGCTAGTCCATAACCTGATTGAGATATTGAGTGGATTACGTATACAGTTGTAAATATAATTTACTTCGTTCCGATTGCAGTTGCACGTTACATACAAACTGTTACTTAGCAACAATACTTATTTTAAATGTGATGGATTATACTTTTTCTACTTCAATCAATGTGCCTAATATGATGCCGGCTGTTGAAAGAGAAATCCCAAGTAGAGCCCGTGACTTATGACACGGGTGTAGGTTTAAAAGGCCCTTTTAGAATGCATTAACACTTACCTTCACTGCTTGCAGCTTCCTTCCAGGCCCAACTAAGTCTGGGATAAACCCATTTCTAATAAAATGTACTTTAGTATCGAAAATACAACCGGCACGCCCTGCGCTCGTCGACTGAATGTCGCCGCTCACCCTACGAAAGAGGATTATTCAACTACGGACCTCCACATTTATAGACCGAAATCAGTGTAGTAAGGCGAGAAGCGGGGTAACGGTTATCTTATGACAAACAACTTAGTTCGGTCTATAAATACTAGATGGCGCTATTTACAATATTTGTAATAAACTTTACATTGGGTACTTTCATTAGTACTATACACAAACTATCTTATTTTAATATCTTTTTAAAATATCGGATTTTTCTATAATATTGACGTGAAGATTTGCTATTTTCGTCTTTCTGTGTGTTAGGGCACAGAAAGATGAAAATAACAAATCTCCGTTAAACTTGCGGTAATTTTTAACAACACAATTCTTATATGTCCTTTGTTTTTCAGTAAACTGAAGTGTGTACCAAACTGTGAGCCAGCCTGCGTATATGGCGAGTGCAAGGCACCAAATGTATGTGCATGTAATAGTGGTTACGAAACTGACCCTGCAAACCGACATATATGTATCCCAGTTTGCGAGCAAACGTGTGTACAAGGCACATGTGTAGAACCTAATATTTGTAAATGTCACTTCGGTAACGAGTTTCACTGCATTAACGGAGCATGTATGTCACCATCGTCGTGTTCATGTCTTCCAGGGTGGAGTTTAGCGACTGCAAACACTTGTGTGCCAATCTGCAGCAGTCCATGCGGTTATGGCACTTGCGTACGACCTGAGATATGTGAATGCCATGATGGATATCACCGTAATGCGACATCTAATACAGGATTGTGTGTTAAGAACAGCGGGAATAGTCTACGAGAATTTTATGGCGGCGTGGTATGCCAGGGCCTTTTACTCACTCTAATATGTATGAGTATAATGGAAATATTCGTGAACGGCTGCCACATGTGGGGACTGACATTGTAAAGTTATGTCCTGAAGTGACCTTAATTTCACAGCAAATATTAGAGCTCACTGCTTTCATTACATGTTATAATATACGCTATAATAACGAGTAACGATCTTATTCAAAATGACTAAGACCAGAGTTTCTTGTCAGTTCTTCTCTGCGCGAACTTTATTCCGAACTGACTGTTGATTTCACTTATTATAAATTCTGTAATATATAATACATGAATAAATATATTTTGATTTGAATTGATAGTATTTTTAAATGAATTGTTTTTTCTTAGATAATGTTGGGATTTCTTAGATAATGAATGATGTTGTGTCTCTAATAGCTTTTTAGGACTTAGTAGTTTTCGCTGTGCGTTAAAAGTTAGGACAAACAATACCTTCACGAAATATATCACTCCTTTCATCCTACACCTATATTTATAATTATGAGTAACGATCTTATTTGAAATTACTAAAAGCAGATTTCTTTTCGGTTTGAACTTCATTCCGAACTGACTGTTGACATTGATATATCCATCCAAGGCCTTTTAATGTGAGTCTATGATTGATAACGAATTTCCAAAGATTTACTTGTTTCAGTAAGCAAGTATTATATCAGAGGTCAAGAGGCATTACTCTTTCTTTTCTCTTCTTTCTTCTTTTCGCATTCTCTATGCAAAATACAGTTTTCAAAACTTGACTGCAGAAATAATTGAATACCTACATAATTAAACCTAGGTACATCTAAAAAAGCTTTCTTAAGCTTGGCATCATTTCGGGATCATCACACCAAGTCATCGGAATAGCTAAAGGAATTGCAGGTCCATTTCCATAAAGCCCAGTTTAACCCGTAACATCTCTAGTTTAACCCATCATTAGCTCCATCTCTGGAGCAACCAATAATTTTCCAATCAAAAGTTTCAAAGAGGTTTTTCCAGATAGGTTGGGCTAATCTGTGAGAAGTCCTATAATTGGATTGGACACAAATGGGGCGTCAATGTCATTTTGACAGCTAACAGTCGAAAGATTAAAAAACAAATCCAGTACTAAATATAACAGATGACTGTCGACTATGTTTCCCTGTAGGAAACCCAAAATACTTTAAATATCCTAAGTCAGCATTAGTCATTGTACGTGCACTTCTGACTACTACTATGTAGATGAGCATAATTTTAATTTTATTGATAAACTCACATGCGGCGATTAAACAGTAGAAATGTAAGAAATTAATGATGAGTGATCTGTTTTAGTGATTGTAATGGCAAACAAGCTGACTGCTCATCTTGTAGCAAGTGGTAACTATCGCCTATATACATGAACAGCACTGCGAACATCACATTATCATGTGACCAGTGTTCCCACTCATGTAACTATTTCAGAGGACCAGGACAACATAGCTTTTATCCTTTAAATACTCTGCCTAATCTAACCCTAACACCAAATGCACCTTACGAAGCAGCTGTTAGGTGAGAATTAGTTATTCGCCCAGGTGACATTTACCAGTCAACCGCTGGTATGTCTATCTCGTCCATAGTCTGACTAAATAGGGACCAAGATTTTGGACACATATCTAATAGGATCTCTTGTAGCAGTGTAGTATCGTCAGAGTTCGATAGAAATGAGCAGGCATTAAGGGCAACGCAGATGCTGTTGGAACTACAGAACTTATAATTAAAATATGCATTCTAGGTAAGTATGCATTCTATACTATGTTAGTCGTAATGGTACGTGTATATGCATATAGTACATAAACCAGGTAGAATACATATAAATCAGAATCGCTTTTACCACAAAATTGATTGAACTATCATTAGCTCTCGGCTTGGCATAACTTCTCTGACTACCCAATATGACAGAAAAAACGAATTTAACTTTTTTATAAATTTACATATCAAATCAAAGTGGCAGAGTCTGATCGGATTTCTAAACTTTTGAATTATTCAAGTATTATTCATGTACTCTATTACCGACTATTACTAACATGACATGCCGCCGTACCCTGTCTCCATCCCATATCTCACTCACCCTACAAAACTTGACTACAGAAGTAGTTCTTTTAATGGAATGGTAGTAGCTAATGGAATTGTGCACCCGTCTGTATTAACGGTTTACGCTAGCGGGGTACCAGTGATAAGCAGTGATGATGATAAGATAAATATGAGGTCAGTTCAGTTAGCCAATCCTACTCAGCTGAAGAGAGAAACCTCGGCAGCTAGTTCATTCCACAATATGAGTGTATGCGGGAGAAAATCGCACTGTCCGAGACTACTTAGGTTCCAGCGTGTGGGGATAAATTCCCTGTCTATGGCGAGCGATGCGATGATAAGCTTGTATAAGTGAGACAGAGGTGCCTGTGTAACAAAATCGACACCTGGATAATAAAGTCAGAATAATCTTCCGCAGCGATGACAAAACACAAATGTATTATTTTATAAAAACTGGATTCAATCTTACCAATTGTATGTACTTAATTTACACACGCGTACTCATAGTAGTACAATATAAATTTTAACGTTGTGTCCAATCCAATTTGCAGTCAACGACGTAGGAGTCAGAGAAATTACAGGGTAAGGAGGGTTAACATTTTAGACGTCCGGAATGGCAACACATGATTGTTGCAGCATGATGATGTCATGTCTTTTTTTCGAACTACTCTAAAACTGTTGGCCGTAGCTGGTCTTTACAGCTTCACCTGACAATAGGGGGCAAGTGCATAATAGAGTGCCATCTCCATTATGGATCGGTTAAAGGCCAACTCTGGCCTGATGGATACGACTTTATTATGAGAGGACCTCGGCAAAGGTCGTCGTAATTTCGATTCCCGTTTATATGGGACGGGTACCGATCGGATTCGATCGGTTGAGGACGTGATGACCGTGACGTTCTCATATATATAGGAAGTTCGGCGGTTGATACCAGGAAGGGCTTCTTTGATATTATAATAAAAAAAAAATTACTACTAGACCATTTTGGTCAATTTTTATTACGACATTTATTCAACTTACCGTATATCTTAATTTTATACTAAATTATCTAAAATTCAAAATTCAAATTTAAAAATCATTTAAGTATGTAGGATGCTTCAGTCGCTTATGAAATTGTCCAATTTTTTATATCATATTTTTTTCCCCACCGTCCAGTTCAATATACATATTCAATTGAGAGGGACAAAAGAAAAAAATAAAAATAATATTAACAAATATTGTTTCTTTTTAATAGTAATAATTAATTTAGATGTTGGATCATAATTATAAAATCCTCATATTATAATAAATAACTAAACGGATGTCACGATTCGTCATGTAATAATCTATTATATTATGATTTCTGTGGTTTAGAGGATGACAACAAATTGTGTTCAAATTATGTGGATAAATTTATTAATTTGATTTTTAAATTTGATATTGATAATTTTTTTTTTAATTAAATAATAAATATTTCTAAATACGTTCCTCAAGAATTAGAGGCTCTCAGCTCTTAACTAAGAAAACATGTTTATTGCAATTGCTTGTACAGAAATTAAGGTTTCAACTTTAAAGTAAATTTACTACTTTTTTTTCAAATAATATAAAATTGAACTACAGTATTATGTGTGCGTTTGTTCATATGGGTAATACAAGACGCTTATGATAGTTTCGCCAGTTTGTTTTTTTTTTATATTTGATACACATATTTATAACTGATGAAAATACAATTACGTGTTAACAAAGAGTTGTAATTATGTATTGTAAGATACTTGCTCTCGACTCGTCCGCTCCGATACTCTTTTCGGCTCTTTTTTTTCAGACTACTTTAACGCTGTTGGCCGCAGTAGGCCTTTACAGCTTCGCCCGACCATACGGGGCAAACCCGCGGAAGGACTTATGGAGGGACTGAAGGCTAAGTCCCTCCTGACGGTTACTACTTTAGTCGCCTTTTTAGCCGCCATGAAGTTAGCTAGTAGAAATTTATTTAAATATAGAATATATTTAAATAAATTTCTAACATTTTTTATTCTTGTCCTCATGTAATTAATATTTATAGACACCCTAACTACACGTATATTACTCATATGGATATTGTACGGTACAAGCCGCCATTATGATACTGATGTTAAATAATTTAGTACAAACAGTGAAGAACTGATATATCTGTGTCACGATGGCGAGATGTCATTTGTTTAATTTGGTCTTACTATTTCTTTGTCTAAATGTGTTTTTCGTTGAGTGTCAAATATGTCCAAGAAGAGTTGAGTAAGTAATAATAATAATTACAAATTGTATTTTAAAAGCGTAATGTGGACAAGAAGTTTGTTTGTAATAAGCAGTAACTGTAACTATCTTATTAATATTATTATTAGCCGAGGCTTTACAAATCGTCTGTTTCTGCTTCTGTTAACCTATTTCTGCAGCCACGAAGTTGTTAGCTGTTGCTTGCAATAGCAAACAGCCTTATATTATTATTAAAGCTTTTTAAAAATAAAATTATACAATTTGAAAACAGAACGTGTGTATTTTTAGGAATATTCTTCGTTCTCTCTTATTAATTCAAATTCAAAAGAGCTAAAAGAAGAGAAAAAATAGTCAAATTTTATAATTTGAAAATAGAACTCCACTCGTAGAATGTTGCGGGTAAATGATACGATGTTGTTGGTCGAGACGATGTATATTACAGATGATAATAGACTGACAATATGTACATAGAAATAATGATCTTATATACTAAATAACAATAGGAAAATGTAAGGTGGGGTGACACAGTTTAGACACAGTAGTGCTTAGTAGACAATATTGAATTTGTCTTACTAGACATTATTAAATGCAATTATTATTTTGATGTATCTAGGTGACTGTGTCCCATAGATATTCCCCCCTTGAGAGAAAAATATATATATATATTAATTCTGCGTCGATTGGTATTCTTTTTGTTTCTGTTATGAATTCAGTGTAGAATTAATATTTTAGTTACCTACATTATTATTATATTATAAAGACAGCAACTTTCCTCCACCAAAGTTATGTTTCGGTTTAATGGACGAGAAATAGCACAGAAATTCCAGAGATTTACATAAGTTATCATTGCCTACAGAGGCAACACAACTTAACATCAATATGTCTTTATTCATGTATGAATATAATACACAATTAATAAAATACAAATCCACCGTCAGTATAGGATATTGTCTGTCTAATAAGACTGAACAAGCAATACAAACCAAATTAAGCCAATGAAATTATAATGTTATGTGTTGGATTACGAATCCTTATAAATTAATATATAAAAGAGAGAGTGGACTGTATTTATTGAAAAGAAAATAATTAATGGAAAAGGAAGTAAAAATACGATTTTGACCTGGAAGAACGTCTTCCACACTCCGAACACCCCAAAGTAAGCAATGTAACACCAAACTTACTCACCTTTGCTCAGGAACGTCCCGATGTGTAGTACTGTTTAGTGGCCACGCACTCTAGAGTGTATATTTTCATCAAAAACAATTATATTGTGTTAAATAAATGATTAATTATCTTCTATATAGGTAAAAATACAGAGCGTCCTTTTAATTCCAGTTCTTATTTTCGATTGTTTTATTATTATTTTTTCGAAATTTAAGTGGCCACATGTTTTTATATGTGGTCAGTATCAAGCGCCCTTTGCTTCAGTCAGCAAGCCGGTGATACAACCTGCTTAGACTACGGAGGTTCGGAATACGGAACAGTTATGGATACCCATCGTTTACATGAGATAGAACGAGATAGCAACACCCGTCGTCTTAGTCTATTCGAGGGTTCTGCAGAGCATGATCAATTGTCGATAAGTTGGCTTGCCATTTGTCTATTACCGCCATTTTGTTTTAGAAAGATCATCACAGTACAAAAATCTTATTTCCATACCTATCGGGCTACATATAGAAAAGAACACTGTTGGTTTCGATGTACAGCAACCAGGATAAAGACGTATACGACGTATAAGACGGTTCCGGTAAGTCCCTTCTTCATAAGTACTTCATAAAATTAATTATCTAGGGCAGTCTTTCCTAACTTTTTTATGCCATGCCACTTTAGCGTTTCTAAAATTCTTGTAAAATGCTTAATTTTTAATACCTATTAAAATTGAATTGTTCACTTAAGACAGTTAAATGATAGGTTTTTGAAAGATAAAACTAGTGTAAGATTGTCGTAATTTAGTATCTAATATGAACTGTAATTTTTAAATAACAATGTAATTGAGTATCTAATATGATCTAGAAAGTATACATTGACTTTTGCAAGAAGTGTTGTGAAATAACTATTTATAGTTTATTTGTAGAATCTGTATTTACCTAGTAGGTATGAGTTGTAATATTATATTATATTTTCATATTCATTATTTAATGTAGATATTTATAAAACTTTATAAGCTTTGTAAATTAATTTCAGTTGTTAAACGAAATAAGTTGTTTAACGACCCAATAAAATTGAAGCTGAATGGGGAACTCCTCCGATCGACCCCCCGTCCAATTCAAACGGGGATCGAAATTACGACGGCCTGAGCCGAGGTTCGAACACCTAGCGGTGTCCTCAAAATAAAGTTGTATCCGTCAGGCGGTAATTGGCCTTCAGCCGCTCCATAAGTCCTTTCGCGGATTTGGAGTGCCATCTGCACTCGCCCCCTATCGTCCGGTGAAGCTGTAAAGGCCAGCTGCGGCCAACAGCAGTAGAGTAGTCCTTAAAAAAAACTGATTGGGGCAGTTGATTTCGAAATGTGAACGAAGTGATTGGTGTTCGGAAGGATAAATCCTTGAACACAACCGAAGATTATTTTTTATGATCGTTAAATCTAACACTAGAAAATGTTTGAACCCTAAAGGAATTCTGAAAATCAAATTCCAAATAATTAATATAAAAAATAAATTGATATTTCTGTATAAATTTATTATTTTAATTTGGTGAGTAAGTAAGGATTTACTTGAAATTTTATATTAGGTTTCAATTTGGTTAGCTTTAGTATGTAATATTATATTATCTGTGGCTTTAGTCTCAAGTCTCTACATTGTGTTTTAACCAGCCGATTTATTTTTCAACAGTAAATCATTTAGAGCCCTAAATCTTTGAATATTTGAATTCTAGGAAACAACTGTGGAATACATTAGAGAATGCTGCCCTGGTTATGATACTATATATATAGAAGGACAACCGTATGTATATTTTCATGTATGTATAACTAACTTTATGTATCTTAATAAGGTCGAAATTCGACTTTATTAAATACATAAAGCTTTTTGAACCAATAATAAATATACAAAGCATATATCAAAATAGGTAGTACTAAGAGGTATATATATAACACCAACGTGTTAGTGTATATATGTATATTGGAATAATGTTTTTTAAGCTTAGTTTAAAAAACATATTAGCATTCTAGAATAGTGACTTTAAAAATGACGATACAACTATCCATCTCCTCTTTAAACCCCTTACAACCCTTCTTCTTTATTTATATTTAATCTTTAATCAGTAACAGCCTAAAAAATAAGTGGAAACTTATTTATTAGGTATGTTATTTTTAGGTATATTATAAAAATCTTTAAAAATGACGACACTTCTCTACAAAGTTTTATCTCCCTTTTCAACGCCTTACAACAATTTTTCTTTATTTGTATCTAATCAACTGACTAAAAAATAAGTTTTAGGTTTCTAACTTTAGAAATGACGATACTTCCATCTCCTCTTTTAACCCTTTTTTCTATATTTATATTTAATCAACAGCTTAAAAATAAATTTCAGGCTTCTAACTTTAAAAATGTATATATGTATCCATTAACCATACATAAATACATAATAATAATCTAACCAGGAAATAATTGGGGAGGCCTATGTCCAGCAGTGGACTGCAGTGGGCTGATGATGATAATGATGACGATACATATAAAGTAGTATACATGAAGTTGTATTGCAAACGATATATCAGTGTTAGATTATTAGATATACTTTTCTTCCACTAATGGTAGAAAAAAAAATAAGAGCAAACGGGACACAGAAGAAATTTTGACAAAGCAATACCTCTTTTTTTCAGTTTCAAATGTAAACCAAAGTGCTTACCAGCGTGCAAAAACGGTTACTGCGAATCGCCAGGTGTATGTGCATGTAATGAAGGTTACTCACCTGACCCTAGTAACCCCCACACTTGTCTTCCAATTTGCGAGCCGAGTTGTTTACACGGCACATGTATAGAACCTAATACTTGTAAATGTGACTTTGGTTATGAGCTACAAGATCGTCAATGTCAACCAGTTTGTTCTGACCCATGCGAGAATGGAGTGTGTGAAGCTCCAGAAACCTGTACCTGCCTTAATGGTTTTAGGATGTCAGAAAACAAAATCTGCGTTCCTTACTGTTCAAAAGGCTGTGATAAAGGTATATGTACCAATCCCGAGACGTGCTCTTGTGAGTTTGGCTGGAATTTAAAAACTCCAAACTCTTGTGAGCCAATGTGCAGCAGACCGTGCGGTAATGGCACTTGTACACGACCAGACGAATGTGATTGTAGTAGAGGATATAAACTTGATTTCGATAATACATTAGAAACAGACATGTGTATTCCTAATTGTGGTAATTGTGAAGGTGTGTGTGTAGCGCCTGGTGAATGTGTTTGTGATCCACCGTATACGGCAAAAGCTGTAAGAGATGATGGTGAAGAGTGCGACTGTGTTTCCGACTGTTCGATTGCCAATAAAACATGTGATCGCACTATTTGTTACATTGAGACTACCAGCCCTTCAACTGAAACGGATGCAACTTCAACAGAACAAGAATTTACAGATGCTGATTATACATCGTCGACTAATGACGATTTAGATTATAATACAACAGAAAAAAGCGTTATAGTAACTACACCAACTACGAATACTAATTTCTTGTTGTCCAATGCCGCCAATACGTCAAAAGAAATAGGGTGAGTTTATATGTTTTTAAATTACTTTAAAATTAACATAAAGATCTTATATCGGTAGCTTTTCCTCAAGTCGTCTGTATCGACCATGAACGGTATGCTAGGATACTAATGTACTTCGGAGTAAACAAAAATTAGCATTTGGATAACATAGTTCGTTATTATTGTAACGAGACATGTATTTTCATACGCAAGGATTGCTTCTTTAGCGCCGATGAAATTTTTCCGAACCGTCGCGTCGTGAATTAAGTCTAAAAGAGGAGTGATAATGTATTTCTTAGTAATTCTTACATTTCTGGTGAAACTTATGCTTGCTTACTTTATAAAGAAACTGTGTTCCAAATTTTAGCTACCTACTAACAGCTTTGGCTGTACGATCTCATAACTTACGAGTTATTGACAATTTATAGTGTCCACATATTATTTGGGTATAGTAAACCACTGTGAGATAACACTTACAGTATTAAATGATATTTACAGAACAGAATAGAAAATCCATTATTTAAATAAACTTAATTTAGGCACTGTTGAATATTTATAGTTATTTATTTTATTCTACCGCTCTTTGGGAAACCTGTCTCATACCAGAATCGCAAACGAAATATGGGCACCAGCATCTATGAACGAGATTGCATGAATAGAATAGAAAATTGATTATTCAAATAAACTTAATTTTAAGCACATTTGAATAATTTTTTCACCTACCGCGCATTCGGAAAGCTATCTTCGTCATAAGACGAACGAGCAAGCTTGCGTATTGCTCTTTTTAAATATTTTTTATAACTTTACATTTTTAAGTTGACTGGTAGTTTGTATTTACACATTTCAGCTTAAAAATGTAGTGTAGTTAGTAAATAACACTAAGTAATTTATTAAAGTTAAAATATTAAATACAATGCAAGCACTAGTTCTCGAAAAATACGGATGAGCCAGTCATGACTACGCTCTACCATATTTTAGGGAGCCCAATGACTCGGCCCACCACGCCGCCACATGTCTGGATATTTTAGTGAGCATGACTACTCGAGACACTGTCATGTCATAGCTACTTAAAATTATCATGTCAAGCATGTAATGATTGCAAGCAATCAATACTAAAACCTCTACGCTATATATTTCAAGGAAGCAGTAAGAAAAACTGCTAAAATAATGTAATAATGAAATTATAACGTTTATTTTGTTACATTTATTGAAGTGAATTATTACAGGTCCTGGAAATTATTCGGAGTGATAGTAGGTGCTGTAGTCCTGCTCTGTTGTATGAGTATTATTATAATTGTAATAATATATCGGAAACATATATGTAGATACATGAATGGAGCTGTTTACGTTGTCGATGGTAAGCATTATACTATGTTTTTTTTTCTGAAATAATTCCCACAGCGATATCTAGTCGTAAATTAATCGGAACTTCAATTCGAAAATCTATTTTATGAAATTTCTAGCTGTGTCCGCAACTTCGTCCGCGTGGAATAGTCACCTTGAATGGCATATTTTTTGACCCGCTTAAGGGTAACATTTTTACAAACTTTGAATGTTATATTTATTGATATATTATTCAACAACTTAAAAAACAAATTTTAAGTTTCTAGTTTTAATGGCGATATTTCCATATAACTTCTCATCTCTCTTATACAACTCTTTTTTCGCATTAAAAAGTAGCCTACGTTCTATTTTAGTATTTATTAGTGGACTATTTGTGTATGTACCAATTTTATTTAAATCGGTTCAGTATAGCGACTTGATGGCGTTGTGTGAATTATCCAGGTGTATTATAAGTTAGAGTTACTATTATTATATTTATGCTATTCTTATTGTATTATATGTATGTATTTACAAATAAAATAAGTTTTTAGTTGTCTTGTATCCCTAATACGCTTTTTTATACTACAATGGTGGCAAACTGCCAAAGCAAACGGCATACGGCCCATCTGATGGTAAACGGTTACCATTGCCTATGTACGGCTGGAATACCAGAGCTAATACGTGCGCGTATCCTTAATATACCTCTTCTTGAAAAAGTCCATGTCGTTGCTTCTTGCTGTAGTCTCTGCATGCTTTGCTTAAGTTAGAACTTGATGGCGTCATGTGAATTGTCCAGGTACATTATTATTATTTATAATTATATACCAAAGGCTTCTTTAGAAAACACTTTGCTCATGAAAATCTCCTGAAACTCCGATTATTGGTTGAGATTGTCACAAACAAACAGACAGATATGGCGACGCACAGTAATAAGATATAATCACTATAAATACACAATAAGATTAATCAATCCAGTCCCTATAAGCAGCACTTGTTCACGAGTATGGCGGATAAGCCAGCCACAACTGAGCGCGACCATATTTTAGGGATCCAAATTACCCGACCCACTACACTGCCACATGTCTGGACATTTTAGTGAGTATCACTATTCAAGACACTCGGCCACGTCAAAGCTACTTAAAATCATTTGTGGTAGTTATGAGTCGGCTAGCACTGCGATCGACCATATTTTAGGTATCCCAGTCTACCACGCCGCCACATGTCTGGACATTTTAGTGCGCATCACTTGTCAAGACACTCTACGTCATAGCTATTTAAAATTACCTTGTAGTATTTATAGTATTGGTATATAGAAATACTAACAACTTTTTAAACTATTCCAGATAACGTAGGCACGGATGAAGTCGGTGATCAATTTGATTTCAGTCGAATTGAATTTTCTTCTATTTTAAGGAACAGACAAGAGGAAGAAGAGAGTCTTTACGCCGAAATAGGTTGTAAAGAAGTTAGTAACAACTAACTTATAAAAATTAGAATGTTTCAGCACTAGATCCCACTACACAGGGCCGGATTAAACAATAGAGTATGCAAGTACCTAGGGGCCCTTCATGAATTTGGGTTATGAGCTCAGTGCCTAAAATGTAAAATGCCACTGTTGGCAATATACCTAGCAGGTCTATTGACTAAGAACCAGACTGTATAAGCGTAAATGCCTATACAATTTTATGCCAAATTATAATAAGTTAATTTTTGCTTTATTTGGACTCTTGCCATCAGTCTGTCTGATTTAAAAATGGAGTAGTAGAACTAATAATATGATTGGACAGTGTATTTTAGGATAATCAACACTTTTGTCTTTGAAACTCATCCTTTGATGATCTTCAAACAGCTGCAAACCCTTCTTTAGTTAGGAATTTAGAAATAGAAAATTTAGGATGGGAGGCAATTGCGGATCAATTCTGCCTTTGATACTTATCATATCATTAAGATTAGATAATCTTCAAACAGCTGTAAACCATTTTTATAGATAGGAATTTACGATCGGAGAATTTAGGATGGGAGACAGGAATCGAGGACCTAGGGGCCCGACATGACCCTGCAACTATATACTGCTGGAAATATTTTGTTGATGCCGTAGTCTATATTATAATTTTAACTATAAGATCTTTGTGTTCACATTAAAATGTAAGTAATTGCTAAAATTTTATTATTATTACTTGTTATTGTTCAAAATGTGTAACTGTGTACTTGGTATTTAAGACTATTTTGTTATATTATACCAGCTGAATCTCGAGGTGCTATATATAATATTATATATCTGTGTCACTTGCTTGTAAAGCAACTATAAATGTATGGATTTTTCAATACGATCCAGAATCTTGAGTATTTCTATTTCAAGAATAATACTGTTAGAAGTTTCTATACGATTAGATGGATTAAAATTTGATATTTTTATAATTTTTGAGAGCTTCATATAAGAGAACATATAGAGTAATACAAATGTACATTAATTTATTAAGCCACAGCCTCATTTTTATTAGCACTAAATTTTATAATATAACTTCCGTGCTAATAAACAGTTGAATCTTTATATGTTCTGTATTAATAATAAGTTCAAATTATTCATTTATAACAATAGACATGAATCACAGTAATTACATACTTTGGAACTTTTAATGTAGTTAAAAAATTTAACAATTTATAACCCAATAAAATGTTATCACATGGACATAGGTATGTTTATAAGCACAATATATCAGTATGATTCATCTAATTTATTTATTAATATATCGATTTATATTCTATTCTTTGTTTAGTCTTTAAAATAATAATAACAAAGAGCAGTTAATGCATTTTATAAAACAATTATATTTACAAACTACTAAAGCCTTGTTATCGACCTATTTTGATACAGTACTTTCCCAGTTAAAAACTCATATAATAAATTATTTAATGTATATAGTTATACTTAATCTCTATAATATTATGTTTGTTGTCATGACTACTTATAGGTATACTAGCTGTACCCGCGACTTCGTCCGCGTAAAACAGTGACCTTGAGCAAATAATAAAAAATATATATTAATAATCTAACCCAATAAAAAAGTTTCATCATTCTAGCTTCAAAAATGAAATTTCCATACATAATTCCATACAATTCAATCAACAGCCAAAAACTAAGTTTCAAACTACTATCTTTAAAATGAAGATACTTCCATACATACCATACATACATTACATCTCCCCTTTCAACCCCTTATAACCCTTTTTCTTGTTTTTTTTAATGCTACTTATATTAGTGTCATCATGTACCAATGATAAGATGTCGCTATACTGTAACCATTTAAGGCTGAGTCATGTGGCGGTAGGTACTGATATTTTCTCAACAGCCTAAAAAATGGGTTTCAAGTTTCTAGCTTTAAAAAATGACAATACATGCATACAACATTTTAACCCCTTTTGACCCTTACAACCCATTTTCGTTAATTATATTTAATCAATACGCAAAAAAATAAGATTGAAGCTTAAACTTTTAAAATATTCCTCTTTCAGTCTCTTATAACCCTTTTTAGCATTAAAAAGTAACCTATGTCCTATCTCAAGATCTAGACTTTAAATTTCATTTAAATCAGTTCAGAAGTTTTGGCTTTTAAGACAGACAGACAGAGTCACTTTCACTTTCATAATATTAGTAAGGTATTTATTAAATAAACTGACCCAAAAAAGCGTAAGAAAAAAGCTTCATCGTTCTAGCTTCAAATATGACGAATTTCCATAAAAACTTTTATCTGCTATTTTATTTTACCCCTTGAATGGTGACAATATGATATTTACAAATTTAAATGTCATATTTATTTATATTTAATAAACAGTTTAAACATTTCTTTAAATTCTTTTGAAAATTGGTGGTCCAGTTGGCCAATAACATAATAAAATTTTGTTAAATCAAAATAATAGATGTGATATTCTAAATTGCAAACTATCCCTCTACTTGCGCGAACCATATCTCTGACTCTACTGGCCAGAATGGAGAAACGCGTATTCCGAACCTGAATAGCTCGGATGGAACGGTAGATGTTGTTTCTTCCAAGGAAATGTTGTTCATATGTATTGACAACATTTTTAATATTATATGTTGTTTTATTCTTCAAAAATATTAATAATATGTTCTTACGCTCTTGTCCAAGAGCAGGGTCATCAGTTATAGGCTATACCAGGATTATATTTATGTATTTATAAAATAAAATTGCAGAGCAAACGTTTATTCATTTAAATTCATAAGGAGACAACGGATTGACAATAATCAGTTGCGCGCGCAACATCGCATGCGCTCTGCTTATACAAATGACATATATGTTTATTGTTTATTTATGACATATGAGCGTTAATAAGTCGCATATCTAGTACAATACTGGTGTAATTCAGAAATTAAAAATTTCTGAAAATAGACTTAATAACACAATTATAAAGTAGACTTTCCAAAATATCTAATTTTTTAGTTAAGCCATTATTATAATAAGTGTGTATTCAACCGCATAAAGATAACCTTGCATTACCATTTTCAACCCCTTACAACCCTTTTTTCGCATTAAAAAGTAGCCTATGTCATTCCTCGGCGTCTAGACTATATGGGTACCAAATTTCATTTAAATCGGTTCAGTAGTTTTCGCGTGAAAGCGAGACAGATAGATAGACAGACAGAGTTAATTTCGCATTTATAATATTAAGTAAGGATTACTCTATTTCATTATAAGTATGACACTATAACATATGTTACTGTGGATTGGATATTTAAATAAAAAATAAAATTTATTTAGTAATACTATTGATGAAGATGATTGAAAACGACGTACATTAGGAGACCTGTAAACCTTTGAAATGTGGTGTTGGAGAAGGATGGAAAGAATTAGCTGGAAATATGAAATAAGAAATGAAGAAGTACTTGAAAGTGTTAAAGAAAAGAGACAGATCATAAATATTATTGAGAATAGGTGGGGAAAAATGTTGGGCACTTGATACGACACGACGAACTTATTAATAATATTATCGAAGGAAAAATAGATAGAAAGAGAGGAAAGGAAACCAAGCAAGTTAAGGAAGACACAGCTAGATCAAGCAAGTTAAGGAAAAAGTTGGAGTCATATCGTATCAATATCAAAATTCGAAAATTGTGGAAGGTGGCGGGACCTCCACCGACAAGAGCACAGCTCTTAAATTATGAATGAATGAAATTGATAAAGATTATTTGTTGGTATAGGACATCGTTAGTCCGCAGAAAATAAATAAATTATACAATAGTTTCATATTTATTAAAAGTTATAATTTTAACCAATTTTGATATTAAAAATTGCTTTTCAAATACTCAATGTTTTTCAATGTAGGTTGAACATATAAAAAATCCGTTATATCTAACGCTTAATACAAACTTGTCGGCCTTTTACGCTAGTGTCTTTATAGTATCCCACGTTACATAGACACAAGTGTGGAGCAGAGCAGATGCCATTGGGACAACCACCTGGGCAGTTGGGCAAGCACCTGAAACCAAGAATTACTTTTAATGTAACTACAATTGCTTTATGTTCGTCATATAGAAAGTAGTATACTTTGTCTAATGCATTTCTAGTCAAATCAAATCAAGTCAAAAATAATTTATCAACTTATAAAGGTAAAGGATTGGCATTAACATTTTTTCCCTACCGTTCATAATATGATCAATCAGATCAGAATCAGCAGAATTAAGCAATTGATTTTTTGTAAGTCAGCCAATTCAGTTTAAGGAATACGATGATGGTCAGGAATTAGGTCATGGTTTTGTATCTTATAATTTCACCACTATTGCTGCCAGACGAGAAAATAGGTAAATCAGATAACAGTAAGCCGCGACACCTAAAGTAAAAGTTCACCTCCGTGATAATCAATTCAGTTACATTTAGGAAAGACGATATTAGTATAATATTATTCTTACCTGTTAGGGTTACTTCTGTCAGGAATGTATCCAGGATTGCATCTACATTCATTTCCTTCTACGCAGTGACTGTTGATGCAAGGTTGTGAACATACGGGCAAAAATTCAGCTGTTTGTTGATTTTGTTCGTAATCTGAGTATGACCCTTGATTTATGTCTTGTGAACTGTTGCGTGACTGCGTTTGATCCTGACCCACTTGGTTGTAGGTATTAAGTGGTCGATTATGATCGCCAGTTGGATTTGGGATACCGTAAGCTTCATCAATGTTAATAACATAACCTGGATTCCGTCCTTGATAAGGTCCTCCTTGGGAGGGACGATAGTTAGGTTGAGATCCTCCAGAGTATTGCGGATTATCAGACCCTTGGTTCGGATACAAAGGATTATTAGGATGTTGGGTTCTATCATTTGGATTATGTCGTCCTGGTGAATTCTGAGGATATTGCTCAGTAGTCGTGTCTTGATTCGAATCATAATTTGGACCATATCTAGGAGAGGATGGTGGGTAAGTATGTCTCTGTTGATTTGTATTGGTGTTATTTGGGTTTTGACTATTGGGGTATTGGTTATTGGGATATTGACCATTTGGGTACTGATTATTAGGGTATTGGTTATTGGGATATTGATTATTGGGATACTGATTACTTGGATATTGATTATTTGAATATTGGTTATTGGGATATTGGTTATTGGGATATTGGTTATTAGGATATTGATTATTGGGGTATTGGTTATTGGAGTTAGGATTATTTGGGTATTGATTACTAGAATGCTGTAAGTTATTAGTTCCATTAAATCCTTGACTATCTGAATTGTTGGAGATAGCATGTAATGAAAAAGAATTTGGTCCATGCGATGGATTCTGTGGATTGTATATGCCATAATGGGTGGAATAGTACTGAGAATCACTTGAAGATTCTTGTACTGTATTGTTAATGTTGTGGCGTTGGTGTATAGAATATTGATCTCCTCCTTGATTTGTTGGGTATCTCGAATTGTATGATTCGATGTCTCCCCGTCCATAGTCTGACTGGGACTGTCCCTGATTCTGAGAATATTGATGATAATCAGTCTGATTATAAGGATAGGGTGCTGATCCGTTTTGAATTTGATTTTGTGGATACGAAGGCCTATATCTTATAGGAGTCACTTGTAAATGTGTACCATCGTCTGAGTTTGACGGACGTGAACAGGCATTGGGGGCAACGCAGCTGCTACCGGAACCACAGGACCTAAAATTAGAATAAAGAGTAATTTTTAGTAATATCGTAATCTAGCTGATATAATAATGAAACTGACGCGTTGACACTGAGAAATAAATTGAAAATATGAAAATAAAACTTGAACTTTTATATTACTACTGCGCAGTTTCTATTAATGTAAAACAATGTTTATTTTCCACTGAAAATTCAAATTTCAATATTACTACTACTGGCTTTCGGTTTGATATTCCCTGAATAAATTGTTAGTCATATGACTAACAATTTATTCAGTTGACTCTTTCATTAATAAGTATACTTTGGTATTAAGTATATTCAAATTCAAATATTTATTTTGTAATTAGGCTCTTACAGGCATTATTACAAGTCAATAGATATAAAAGTCGCCTCGAACAATTATTTTCGAACCATTATATTATTATCTGATCTGGCTCGTCTTGAAGCTTCTTCCATTATTTCCATAAATAAGTCAAAACAAGCTGCTAGGGTTTGATAAATTTCAACTCAACACAAGACGCTCGTGTTGAAAGTTTTACAATGGCTTTCGATTCGAAATAAGATTCTACGAGATCCTTCCCTTATGACATTTTTCCATGTAAAGTACTCCCAATTATGTAAATGTTGTAATAATTACATATGTACCTACATTATTATCAATTATAATAGATTTATATTATTATAATAAAGGCATATAAACTGCCAGCCAATTTTATGGAATGTGGTGAGCGAACTTTGAATCACAAACACTCAATTGTACAATAGTACTCGTCTGCGCTTCAGGTCTTGAAGACTATTGTATCATGCCTAATCTTATAAATATCACTGATACTGTCACTATGTCAAAGCAGGAGACATCGTACAAAGCAAGATGTTTTTCAATTTGGATGGCAAATAAGCTAATCTAGTCTAATAATCGTCGCCTATATATGTACACGAACACTACGGGCGTCATGTTGTTATGTGACATCCGTGATACGACATATGCGTTACCATTCCAGAGGCCTAAGATATTGTGCCTCTTAACATGTAATTTACCGTGTAACTGCTTAATTACATTTACAAAGCAGGTTGTTTGGCGACTGGAATAGATGGGTCTAAGACACTACGTACGTTAACATCAATTGTAGCTTCGAATGTGTCTGAAGTCACTAGTCTATTGTAAACCTTGATTGTAATGACTAATGTAATTCGAGTACGAGTATATAATAAGAAACAGATATCATACGGATTGCATTGTGGAACACATTGGCCGTGTTGATCTTTAGTGTAGCCGAAATGGCAGCGGCACTCGTTCGGAGCCACACAATCACCGTTTTCACAGCGCTCGCAGGAAGCCTGACAAGATCCATCGCGTGTAGACTTGTAGCCGGTCTTACAGTCGCATGTGTTTGGTGCTATACAGTTGCCTAGAATGTAATTTCAATACGTATAAAATTATTACCAACATATGTAATGTCTAGAAATAATATTTCTCGCAATATGGTTCGGGGTGAGGGGATTGCTAGTAATGAGAATTAGTGACCCCAATACTGGCATTATCATGTCGGGTTGATCTACCGATTCCCCCTGGAAACCATCGTGGTTAATTCCTGGTGAATTGACCATTATGTTTTTATTAACATGTCTTTATCCTCAATCTATCATCCATTACTGGTGCCTCACTATGGTATATCGTTGTGACGCTGTATCAAATCAAATCAAAATTCATGTAGGACATTTTAGTCGCCTATGAATGAAATTTTTTTTTTATTATAATATTTTTCCCTACCGTACAGTTCAGTATATAAATTTAATTGAGAAGAACTGGCAAGAAAGTCAACTGATTTTTTTTATATAAGCCTAACATATTAATCCAAAAATATATAGCTACGGCGGCTTAGCAGTGTACACCGCCTTAATTCCGATAGCCACGGATTCGATTTTCGTTTGGACAAAGTCTACCTCATTACAACTATACTAAAAATTGGTTATACTACTGTTAGCTTCAAAACATAAAGAACACTCAGTTGACTAATTTGTTACTTACATTTCAAATTTAAAACCATAGCGAGTCACGTGATTTTGGTGGCGTCACGATTAGGATTGCCGCCACCAATAGGAATACAGATAAAGAGGCCGGGAACAAGGAGGGAGCGGGTTGCTCTCTCTTTGTTCGAGGCGACGGAGACGACCAGACGTGAATGCACGACGACGCAATTTATGTGGAGTGTAATTTGAAAAAGGAATAAAATAAAAGTACTGCTGCATCGACATATCATTTCTGAAAGTTCCCAATACTACATACCTAATCCTCCACAATTTTCTTTACAACTTGGTATGCAGAACTTGCTGTCAGTGTCCAATTTAAAGCCATCCTTGCATATGCATTCTCCACCAGCGCAGTGGCCGTTCTGGCACCCAATTGGACAGGTAGCAACACACACTCCAGCTAGATTCTTCACGTGGTCAGGGAAACATTTGCAGGTTTCTGGACCGACGCAGAGGGCGTTGATGCAGTCATTGCTGCAGAATGGTTCGCAGAGCATATAGTTGTGAGCATTCCTTATGTAACCCTTACAGCATGTTCTGATTCGACTGAGCTCCGGTCGAGACTGAAAATATAAAAGAACATATGTAGAAATATCCTCCTTGCAATTTCAGATAGGTTAGATAGAGACATAGCCAGCTATTGACGTTAATTTTCAGTGACTGAAGAGAAATTTTAACAGGACGGAAATTATGGCAATCATACGGTCCATCTGAATGTAAAATTGTTAACATAGCCTATAGACACCTAAGACACCAGAGGTATCACGAGTTGCCGATCCAATATATCTTTTATTTAAAACCATGCTGTAGTCTCTAAAAAAATCTTCCTCGATAGGTAGTGAAATCGACAATCGAAGTGCGTGTTGGAGAAATTCTCCTGAAACCACACCGTACCTGAGCACTTACGTTGCATGGTGTGATTATTTGAATATTAAATTCCCTGTCAAATGCGAGCGGTGCAGTATATAATAGAATATGGTACATCAGCTTACCCCATTTCCCGCTGGAACATGTGAAGGATCCGACACCAAGTTGACAGTTCTGGAAATATCGTATAGTTTTATTTTTTTAATAATTACAAGCGACCAGAGAAACCAGTTGCACCTCGCGATGCTGTTCGCGACTCTCTTCTTTTTCTAACTATTCTAATGCTCCTGGCCGCGGCTGGCCAAACGATATGCGAGTGCAGATGGCATTCCAAAGGATTTATGGAGGAGTTAAAGATCGACTCTTACCTGACGATGTATTCTATTTTAGTTATTTAGTGAATATTCGTGTTTTCTATTTATTTCCATATTATGTATGTGGACGACCTCGGTGATCTAGCGGTCTAGAACACCGCTTTACGATCGATGGTCGCGGGTTCGATCCCTCGCACGGCAAAAACATTTGTATTCACGAGTATGATTGTTTATATCGGTCTGTGTGTTTTCTATGTATGTATTTACAAAAAAAAATATCTATGTATATTTATCAGTTATCTAGTACTCATAACACAAGCTTTAGCTAGCTTAACTTGGGTCTAGATGGCGCTGTGTGAATTGTCCTGAGATTATTATTATTATTATGTATTAGTATATATATATTTGTAAAAATAAGTATTGAGTATTCTTTCGTATACAATACTAAATGTCCGTTATATATTTATTTCACTTTGAAAACGTTATGATCGTGGTCTTCAGTTTTGGATTCACGCACTTCTTTTTATTGTTCATCGGTTAAATGCCAACTAAATGTATTTTACCCCAGATTTGGCAGATTGACGATTGCTCGTATGTTTTCATACCAACCCATTCCTTATCAGTCCTTGTTTTTATGTTCACTGCCCTCCTACGCGAATACTTTATTACAAAACTAATTTATATGTATAATATAATTGTATCACAGACAATCTGTATAAAATATACCTTGATGGCCGTTTCGTTTGGTTTGTTATCGCTATTTTCATCACCTAATACAGAACTATGATATGATATATTATTTTGTAAATACATACATAATATACAAATAATACTCCCAGACCGATACATATCAGTATACCTATGAACAAATGTTTGTACTGTGCGAGGAATCGAACCCGCGACCATAAGCGTAAAGCGGTGTCCTATACCGTTAGACCACCGCGGCTAACTGATTGTGATATGACACCGCTAGATTTTCGAACCTCGGCTCAGGCCGTTGTAATTTCGATCATCGTTCGAATGGAACAGGGAATCGAAGGGGGAACACAGTAAAGATTGAACATTAAAAATACTTACGGAACTTCAATATAGCAAACACCAACATTCTCGGACGGGTCGTGTCTCGTTGTGTTCACTTGTGTATTATTATAAAATCTGAAATTAATTATTGCATGTAATATAAAATTTCTTTCATTTCAAATGTATATTTATATACATATTATTATATAACTAGTATTTACATAACCTAATTGTACAACTAAGAACCTAAAATAAAAACTTAAAAAAAAAATATGATGACTAAAATATATTATTAAAAGGGGTCCCTTTAGGCAACGTTCCGAAGATACTGGCAGCGTTCCCTCTTTGAATAGCTAGTCTAATTCTTTGTCCAAGGTAGCTGCCACCTCTTCGGTCTTCTGTGACGTCGACTAACCTTTTCGTTATTTCTTTGAAAAGTCTTATAGCGCTAGGACCCCACGGACCAAGGGTCTCGACACCGAATGGGACAAATTCATATTCGGAGCCTAGACCCCTGTATTTATATATTTTGGCTTTTTCAGCCGCTTCACATGCCGCACCAGCTCTGTTGTTGGTTCCATGTAGATGGGATGGGGCCAGCGTGTCTGCACAGGTTGCATCCCATACCAGCACCCGGCCCACCTTCCATGGAATCATATTCCAAATTTCTTTTGATCCATATATGTTCGCCAACATTACATAATACGAAATAGAGAAAATTGTAGACAAAATATTTTTTTTTGTAATTTTTGTAAGTATAGGTACATCATAAGTTTTTACATTTATTAAATGCCATAACATTTTAATATTACAGGAAAAAAATAGATTGCTATTTTGGCGAATTTACTGAATATTTACTCATGTAAAATTTTATACATTTTTATTTTATACAGAAAAATAAAGAAATTTAAGTTATTCCGAATTATGATATTTATAAAATTATGAAACTTATGTTATTTATGAACTAACGTCTAACAATGTTATTCTTGCTATTTTCTTTTTCTTGTGACATTGCGGACTATATCCGGACCAAAAGTCCGGTGCGAGAATCGAACCCGCGACTATCGGAAGTAAAGTGTGTGCCAAATTAGACTACCGGGCCATATATATACAAAAATAGTCTCACCTTAGATAATTAGCGTCGCCTTTATATTGGTAGCGGCCACCAAATCCCCCTTTCACGCTTTTAACATATTGTACGTCGTCAGAATCTGCGCGTGCGCATCCTAAGATAAGCGCGCATAATAACATATATACGCGCATTTTGATCTGAAAGAAAATTATCAGTATCTATATTAATTTGTTTACTGAACTGAACTTCGTCCACATCATTGTACTATGTGGTAATTTTATGGCAACCAAGCCTCAAATTCAGGGTATATTTTTATAAATACACTTTTTAAAAATAAACCGTGAACTTTCCAGAGGGACTCTGCATCTACCTACATGACGCGAATTATCCTGGCTTGAAACCATCGTTCCGGACTTTATAAGAGCTGAAGACTAGCCCTCATCTAGCCTAGACCTCAATCCTTTAGACTTCAAATTGTAGTCAGTTTTAAAGGATATAGGACATAGGAAGGACACAGTCTGCTCTAAACGACACGGTGACATTGAGTCTCATAAAAAAAATCTTTGGGGCATCAGGGACGAAATTTCCCTTGGTAACATTGTGTAAATCCATAAATTCGTGGCCAAACAGATTAAGCGCCAGTATAAAAGCCAAAATTTCGAATAGATTTTTTTTATTTTGCTGGGACTAATAATTATATAGGTATAATATTACATTACTACATTAAAAAAAATGCATTTTCATTTGTAGAACTTATGCGATAAAACTTATTATTATATAATACTAGCTGTCCGGGGAAACGTTGTTTTGCCATACAAAATTTTGTATATATTTCAATCTAGATTTTTTGATTAAATTATCTACAAAGTATATATTTTTTAATTCATTATAATTTACAATTTAACATTAGCTGCACTTTGTTTAAAGAATGTTCCCAGCCGTAGTTTTGGAATTGTTGTTTTTGAAATTTCGTATTTAATACGTTAAGATTATTAGAAATTAATTAAAATTATTATTATTATGATATTAATACGTGAAGCTAACATATTGTACCCCTTTAGAAATTCGCTTAGTTTATACAGAGAAGGAGTGTAGAAACTTCATATTGTTTTTAATTATACAAAAAAACATTAAAATATTAAAAAAAATAATAACATGTGTATGTCAAATATATGGCCACACCATATATTTCACACAAACACATGAATAGAAGTATAGCTTTAACAATAGAACCTTAATAGTGTTCAAACTTTATTAATATTTATTAATATAGTTATTACAATTAAATGTTACAATTCCCAATAAAAAAAATATTTCCGCATCAAGTTAAAATTACAGAACAATTTACAATTTATATTGTAAATAATGTCAATAGGTAACAATCATGCTACTTAAGTTACATGGCCACATTATCTAGATAAGGTCTTAGGCCAATGAGATGACACTAGTTCGATAATAACATTATATATACAGATTTACTTGTTACTCACCAAGTGACTAGCTCGCTCTGCGTTCGTCTTTGTACTGGCAACTAGATTCTATGAGATCACTTGATTTGAAGTATAGAATGTTAATAAAGCTGAGGGTTCCGTAAATAATTTAATATTATATTTAAATGTGACAAAGAAGCATCGTGTCGGAACATTCTTTTAATATTGTTTAGATTTTGATATCGTCGGTTAAATAGAAAAATGGCAGTATTCAAAATGTACATTTAGGTCTTGTCTTGTAGACAGGCATTTAAAGTTTTTAAATTTATTTAAATTATTTTTTTACCTTTAAAGTTTTAAAGTTACACAGAAGTATTATATATAATTTTAAAAGTATTTAGATAATGATTAAGCCGGCGTTAATTAAATTAATTGACTTATATAAAAGGAGGCAATTCTAGCTTCTAATTTTGAAAAATATCATTTTTCTATTTTTAATCATTAAATTTATCATATATATATAGCCTTGAACACTCTTTTATATTCTTGGATTGTTTTCTGTTGTTTCATGAATTTTTGTGTGAATCTAATAAATAAATAAAGATATTGGCCTTATCCTCTCTAAAACTGCAGTAAGTGCTATACTAGAAGGTATTTCTAAAGCTGCACTGAATCAAGTAGGAGCACAGGCTGGGCAGGGAGAGACACACGAGAGGTGAAGGTGACTGTTGATGTACGTCGGCAAGGGGCCCCTTAAACCTACACTCCGAGGAGTTCCCAAGGTCCCAAGGTCACAAGTCCCGGGATCTGCTTGGAATTTCCCTCTCTGCCACACGGTAGATCCAGTCAGTGATCCATCCGCACAGTGAATCCATGGAATGCTAAGAAGTTCGTCCCACATTAAATCTTTGATTTTACCTTTTTTAATTAGACTATATCGAAAAAATTAAAAATGAGCTTAAAATATGAAAATTAAAGATTGTTATCCATCTTTTTTTTATATAGTTAGATAGAATTAAATTAAATATACCATTTCGAGCGTCTTCATGTTCTAACAATTACATTTGGCATGAGGAACAGAATACCACTAGTTTTTATATTACCTTAAGATATTCTATAGTTTATTCGAATGAACTCGCTAATATCTGAAAAAAATATCTAATAAAAATTTTTGCACCTATTTTATAGATTCGAGACTCAGAACGGAGCAACAAGAAAAACATTTCGTTGCGATTCGACAGATTGGAGAACGAGTATAGTTGCCATTTCTTTAAAACTAAAACGTATATGAACGCGGGTCTCAACTAGTCATTTATACACTCATGGCGAGGTCAACAATTTATAAAGAAACGTAATGATAACTTTGTCATATTTAGTAGTTTTCCTCAATGATCTCATGCCGTGAAGGTTCCTAGACATAAATAGGGGACCCTAATTCCAGTAAGTTCACGTGCCGTCATATAATAAGAATCGGTGAGATAATTTCGAGTCTGTTTTGCATATTTTGATTGAAAGTTTATCACAAATAAATAATTTTGTAAACACTATGTGTGCATACTACCGTATTCCTTGTTGAAGTTAACATAAGTTTTGATTTTTTGATTTGTTAACTTTTGTGACTTGTTGCAGCATGGAGCGGGTTATTGGGGTCCCTAAAATATAGTCGAGCGTAAAATGATGCTGATGCTCATCCGTCATACTCGTGAACGAGTGCTACCTGTAGGGACTAGTCTGCTCTAATCACTACTGCTGATTTACTCTTATTCAGTTACTAAACCAGTTGATTGTGTATTTATTATTTTGACTCTAATGAATTAGTGTTTATTGAGAGTTTGTATTCGCATATTTCAACTTAAAATATAAAGTTACAACAATTATTTAATAGAGCAACACGCAAGTTTCATTCCCCCTTTCATCACCCCAATATTAAAAAAGTCTCTGCCTACTCAGGTTCTAGAATATCTATGTACCAAATTTAATTGAAACCGGTTCATTAGTTTAGGCGTGAAAGCGCGAGATACAGTCAAACAGAGATATTTACGCATTTATATTTTTGGTAAGGTTATGTATAAATATATATATATATATATTTAAGCAGATTGTAATCAACATTATGTAGGTATATATGCCACGGTTTATGGACAATAGAGGTAAAAAAATTAATGTGTCTATTTTGCTAAAAATAAGGATATACTTGTAAATAATCACATTTAAATTTTATACGCGTGTCACTTATAATTTCATATTTTAGTCAGGTAGGTAGCAATGAGTAATTTTTAGTCATGTTCATTCATTGTTTGCTACCTAATGAGATCATGGGATTGAGCAAAAAATGTACTTTAAATTGTAATTACAATTAACATCTACGTAGTAGTTTCGGTTTGTGTTTCCAAACTTTCGTACCTATTTTTTTTACGAAGCATATAAAATGTTCATCTGTCTGAAGATAGATTCAAATATTGTACGATACACTTTCTTTGTAAAAAAGCTTATTAAAAAAATGATGAGTTTGTAAACAATAATAATGTTTTTGTAGAAAAAACTTAAAATTCATAACGCTGACAATATTATCTAATTGCACTAAGAATGAGTGCGTAGCGATTTTTATGTTGATTATCGCATATGCCTCTTACTTCTTATTCTGTATTTGTTTTAAATAACATCTATTGAAGTCTATACAAGTTTCTTGCTAATTCTTCTTGTGATGAATCTGCGTTCCGAATTAGTAGTAGAATAAAAAAAATGACTATTCAAAAGTGCTTGTATACAGTTTATTTGAATAAAGATTATTTCTATTTCTAATTTATTAGAATTACGAATGCGTTACGCATTTGTTTGTTTTATGAATAAAAAAATTTGAATGTAAAAGTTTTGATGTGATATACCACCATGGCGTTTTTATTTATCTCCACAATTTTATCTATGATTTATATAATACTAAACCCCCCGCTTTATGAAGGGGTGTAAATTAATATTGTCGGCCTCTTACTCAGTTAAACCCCGAGGGGTTACTCCTTAACAACCGTGATTAGTCCCGTCATGGTAGTGCATTTTCGCAATCGTCCCCTCGAAACTTTGGTACTTTAACTTGAAATTTTTTATATTTTAAGTTCTTAGTGCCCAGCCCTAAAACAAAAATAAAATTAATTATATAATTTAAGCTAATCTGCGTATCTAATTGTTGGTTAAGCAGATTCTTAAGTTGTAGTCATAGTTAGTTAAGATAATTCTTCTTAGCTATTATAGTGGCCAGTGATATCTGTATGTAATTTGACATCAGAAGAATTGCCAGTTTTATTCTAGACTATCACAACCATAGTATACAGAAATACCTTTTTGAGTTTTAATAATAATAATTATTATTTATTTAGAGTGAAAATATATAAAAACTTAAAAGTTTGTATATTAATTAATTAACATTTCGTAATTCTTGTAATTTCGATCCCCGTTGGAATTGGGCGGGGGGTCGATCAGAGGAGATGAAAAATAATCTCAAACAACAGTAAAAAAATTTTAGTACATGTCAAATCGAAACAATGGTCCCATATTATAGTTTACTTACATCATAAACTATAACCTTTCTTAATAACACAAGCAATCATTTATTGTAAAAAAAAATCCTATCTCTTGTTATTTGGAGAGAAATAAATAAGATATAGTCTTTACTTATTTACCATTATATTATTCGTGTTAACAATTCATTATTGACATATTTATCACTAGCTGTACTCGCGACTTCGTCCACGTGGAATTTAACTATATTTTTCTAAAATAAAAGTAGCCTATGTTACTCCTTATTACATCAACTACCTTCCAATAAAATTCCCGTCAAAATCGGTCTAGCGGAGTCAGAGATTAACCGAAACAAACAGACAGACAAAAATTGTAATAAATGTTATTTTGGTGTAGGTATGTGCCGTATTTATATTCATATATATGTAGTAAAAACGGTTATTTCAATATTACAAACAGACACTCCAATTTTATTTACATGTATAGATGTATACATATATATTTACTGGAAACTATGTTCGTACTGTAAACTGCTTTAGTTTAATAAAGCAAGGACGAGTGCAAGGCTATGATCAATGTTTTGATCTTATGTAGGTATAGATATATAAAAATAGATATGTACCTAATGTAATAAATAATGATAATAATATTGTTGTTAATAGGATACTATATCATTTACTTACCTACATACATTATACGGCCTTGGAAAAACTTTGGTACTATATACATTTAATATATAAGTGATTAAATATATATATTTAGAAAATACTTAATAACAATAATAAAAATACTAGAAATAAAGAAAGAAAAATATTTTATTCAATGCAATATAAAAAATACAATATAAACAACAAACGAAAAAAAAGAGCAAATAAAATGTACATATAATTAAACTTAATTTACCATAAAAAAAACGGTAATAAATAATTTAACAAATACATTTTCGTTTTATTAAGGCCTATTAGATATTTATCTATAAAACGAAAATTTGTTTATTTATTATTTTATTGTGATAATAGCGAGACAATATCATGTATTGTGTAAATTATGTACCTATGGTACATAGCTACATACCTCTATGGTACACACACACACACACACAAATAATACGAACTATACATACACTCCTCATTTTAAGATAATAAATTTGTAACTACCCCACTAAAAGTTATTTAATATACTTTAAGAATTATTACATAGTACTTAGTGCTGGTTGGTAGTTTGTATTCACACGTTTCGACTTGTAAAATGTGAACTTACAAGTATTGTTTAAAAGAGCAACACACAAGTTTCTTGCTTATTCTTCTTGTGATGAGACAGCTTTCCGAATAAGCGGTAGATTTAAAAAAAATTTTGACTATTCAAAAGTGCTTAAATTAAGTTTATTTGAATAAATGATTTTCTATTCTATTCTATTCTATTCTTATTAAGGTACTGGAAGAAGCCTGGATGTTTGTAGTACAGGTTTCAACCTAGTTCCGACTGCAGACTCTCACAAGGAATAAATAACTTGAACGTTAAACTAGAAATTATATTTATATAATTTTCCTTGCGACCAGTAAGCTAAAGATTATTTCTATTATTATTAATATACAGAACGAAGTAAAATAAAAAGTATATTTTTCTTCATTACTATTTAATTCTTAGGTACATAATCACTGTATTCAATAATAAAACATTATTCAAAACAAATATGAGTCACTTCACTATAAACAAACAAGTTCATTATGTCATTAGTTCACATAGAAATCAATTCATAGAGTTAGAAAAATTACATAAATTTTTCATGGAACAGCGCCATCTGTTGTTCACTAGAGATACTAAAATGCAATCATAATTCAGTGACTGCTTCGCCGTTGGTGTTTATTACTTCGATAGCGTGCTCAGATGGAGGTCTCCAACATGGAATCTCAGCATAAAGAGGTTCGCTAGTTGTAGTGTCAATAACGTCCAATTTAGCTTCGCATTTCAATGCTTCTATAGTCGATTCGGTTACTGAGTAAGCGCGCGGTGCTCGAAGTTCATTACTGTAGTTGATAGATGTCGCTGTACCCCGGATTGGCATTGTTCCGAATTCGTGATCCCTTCGTGGTAAATGGTCATAATGACATTCTAGAATACCTGAGAATAGTAAAAATATATGTAATAGAATACGCAGCAGTCTTATAGATAGAAATATGGATACTCTGTGAAGTTTACCTCTGAAGTTTTCCAGCATTATGGGTGAAATAGTTTGTACTACAACAGGCCTCATAAATTGTTTTAAATTACGATCTAGTGTTGATATCGGTTGATAATGGCATTTTTCTGACGTTGGTGGATCTGAAAAAAAAACAAAATTTAAAAAAAAGTGCAAAAACATACTGGCCCATGAGGGGATCGAACCCGCGACCTTCGCGTTATTAGCACGACGCTCTAACCAACTGAGCTAATGGGCCGATGAAGCATTTTGTGAAATATTAATATACTACTTGTTTCTTTACCTGGTAATGGCGTATGAAAAATACTTCGTACATACGGTGGGGGGACATCATTTTTATCAATCATAACTTGCATCCTTATATCATTAATTTTCCTTACATCTTCATATCTAGGCCGCTTACATCTCTCTATCATCACTATAATAACCGCTACCGTGATGATAGCCATCATAACTCCTCCAGCAATACTTATCACCGAAACGAGATCAACTGAAGTTCTATCCGTCCCTTTCTCACCCATTACAGCAGTAATGTGCTCCGGCTCTGTCAAAATATGAAATACTTCTTCATCTCCTTTCGGCTGATCGGTTACAGTATTAGTTTTAGAGTTAGAATCATTCGAAACATTAAATTTAGTATTGTTACTCATTCCAGGTGCGTTTTTTAAGACTTTGGTGCTTTTCTTAGGAGACAGTTCTGGTTTTGTATCACTTTGTTCTTTTGTAATAAACGTTACTGTCTTATTTCTTTGCGTAGCATCAATTTTTTTATTTGTAATTATTTTCTGTGTAGTTTTTGGAATTCCTTTTGGCATATGAGTTGTTACCATATTACGCTTTCTTGTTGTTGGTTTGGTGTTAATTGAAGAGATCGTTGTTAGAAAATTAGGAGTATAGTTAGGATTAACAGAGAACGTGCTTGACATGCTGTTAGTTTTACTATTTACTTTCGTAATTCCTTTTGTAGGTGCTAATGTAGTATGTAGTGATTTAGTCACATTTCGAGACGCAGGGCTGGTAGTTGTGGACAAACTCCCTTGCCTTAATGACAAAGTATTCAGCTTTTTAAAAGGAACAGATGTAGATGTTTGAACAGACATAGACTTTGTGAATTCTTCTATTATTTGGCTATACGATTTCATCACAGTGCTATTCTTTTGAGCCATATAAGGTACTGTAGCCAATGCTATTTTCTTAAATGTTGCATATGAAACCGATGTAGGTATTATAGAAACAATAATAGTCTTTGGTGTTGTACTTTCAAGTTCCTTCTTTGTTATATGTTTATGTTTCATGTGATGCACTTCATGATTTGGTATTGGTTTTATTTCTAATATAGGAGATTCACCTTTCTGGGCTGGTTTTATCCATATTTCTTTTGGTTTGAACTTTAATGTAGTTGGATACGATCTTAGTGTTGTTTCAGGTTTTCTTGTGGTTTCGACATTCTCTTTGACTTCCTTAATTGGTAATGTTAGGTTCGTTTTAGGCGTAGTACTTAGAACTGGTTTTATAGATGAACTAGTGGGCATTAAAGTAGGCAATGTTTTTATTAATTGCACTGAAGGTGTCGGAGCTTCGTTAATTAAAATAGTTTTAGTTATTTCAGTTGTTGATTCTGTCTTGTTGTATACCGAATTAGCAGCGAGGAATCGTTTTGTTACCTCAGTTGCGATTGGATTAAAAGTCGTAAAAAAATTAATGGTATCATTTTTATGTGCACTTTCTAAGTTTTTATTTACAACTGAATGAACAGTTGATGGCGTTGGCGATGTGACTTTCACTGTCGATGTACTAACACTAATATACGTTACAGGTACTTTTGCTACAGTTGTAGTGACAGGCGCTAAAGTGGTAGTAGTTGTAGTAGATTTAGTAGTAGACGGAGCAGATTGTGTAGTTGCTTTCGTAGTTGTTAGTAATTCCCTCATCACGGGGGTTGCAGTTGTTGTAAACATGCTGGTTTGACAACTGTAACATAAAATTAAAAATTGGTTCATGTTAGTTGTAGAAGTAATCATGTAATAAATCATAAATTTTAAACAATTTTTGCGATTTTATAAACCGAAATTTGATACAACATTTTCCGCGTGAAATAGACGTTTTTATTTTACGTACTTCCATGACTTAATAGACATCATATTCGTTGTCTTACTTTTATCCTATTATTTGGGGTCCACAGTATGTTATCTCCTTCCACTGATCACTATCGGTCTATCCTATTTGAGCTTACTCTCCTTTCATACATATCATCTATACATCTATTATTGGTCGAAGTCGAGTATTTAAAATAAATATACTGGTAGTTGGTGCCCCACAAAGTGTTTTAACCGATCACTGCTGAAGTGATATAGCTATTCGTTGGGACTGGAATTTGGTTTTAGTCAAATATTAAAATTTAAAGAATTAAAAAAAAAAATTTCAAAGGGTTAAAAAAATGTACACTTTTGAGAATAATGTGATTATAATTTAATTAAAGTGGTAACCCACCTCTCACCTTGCCATCCGACCCTGCACACGCATTCGCCGGTGACAGGGGAACATGTGCTATGATCTGAACACACTTTACAGTCATGTATGCAGTTTGGACCCCATTTGTTGGTTGGGCATTCTGCAAATTGATAATGAAGCAATGAGAATTTATACCAATGTATTATTGACTTCCATATCCTGTTCATTATTTGTTCTAACATTTTTAGTAAAAATGACAATATTGAAATCACCCGTCTAAATTTCATTATTAATATTTAAATAGTATAAAACAAAATCGCCGCGGCTCTCTGTTCACTTAAGTGGAAGCGAAGCGATTGGGAAACTTCGCAGGTTTTGTTTGAATCAATATGTATTTGGTTTCCATTGTATTGTAAATTGAACTTAAATAATCAGTACAAAGACCTCAAAATTAAGTAACTGTATTAATGTTATTTTAAACGAATTTATAAAGTAGAAAATGGGATCCTAATCGCCTCGCTTCCTACCCAGGTTGCTAGTATAAAACCCTTAAAAAAATGAAAAAAAAAGAAAGGGTGAATATTTCTTTTTGTATATTGTAAAAATCCATATGTATTGAATGTAGTTACAGATGTTCTATGCTAAGACAGATAATCAGAGGGCATAAGAAAGAAATTTAATTTTGGGAACAACAAATAACAGTAAGAAGAAACGGGAGAATAACAACCGGTATAACAAAATCTTTTTTATAATAATAACGTTAAAACTAACATTTGATTGATGATTAAAACGTGAAGTGTAGATATTAATAATACTCATATAATGATAAATAAAATCAAGCAATCTTTACAAAGATAGATGACATTGCTATTCTTAAAAAATACTTTATACAATTACTCATGAACAAAATAAGAAGAAAGTAAGAAAAAAATATATAGGACCTGCAACTGGTGTTAAGAGAAACGTTTGAAATAATTTATTAATAGTAGTAATAGTTCCGGTATAGAGGAAAGCAAATACAAACAGTTGTTATACAATAGCTAGATTTTTATGATTAAAACGACCTGTAAAAATATCTCTGGATACCTCGATTTCACTGAAAATCATTCAATAAATATTTTTCTTTCATGATTATGTACAGTGTAAAAATTATTTGACCTACTCGGTGGATTACTTCCGATGGTCAGTGGTTCGATTCCTCGTAAGGTACATAGAAAATACATAGAAAGAGTCTGGTCTGGGTTTTTTTCTATGTATATACAAAAAATGTATCTATCTATATCAGTTGTCTATGGCACTAGATGGCGTTGTGTGAATTGTCCAGTGATAAAAAAATTGTCAACCAAATTACCGTTGGAGCACTTAGGTCCAGTTTTTCCATTGGGACAGATTGGGACGCACGAGACGTCTTGCATTTTGTAGCCGGGACAACAAACTGCGACCTCGGCTATACGTTCTTCTGTCTGAAATATCACATAAATTCAATTAATATTACAATAACATGATCACGTATAATTTATAAAATATCTGAATAACGGCTTTGGTGGTTTAGTGGTTAAGCACACTGCTTTAATTTCGATGCTCACGGGTTCGATTCCTCACACGGTATAAACATTTGTATTCGTTATTTGATATATTCACGGTCTCGGTGATCTAGATGTTTAACACGCCGCTTAACTTCCGACGCTCGCGGGTTTGATTCCTCGCACGGTATAAACATTTGTATTCAAGAGTATGATTTTTTGTATTGGTCTGGTTATCTTGTATATTATGTATTTACAAAAAATGTATCTAAGTATTATATCGGTTGGCTAGTAACCATAAAACAAGCTCTGCTTAGCTTGGGACTAGTTGGGGCTGTGTGAATTATCAAGGGATTTAGTATTATATGTGTTTACAGACGCCTTTGAACAGTTTCTTTCCAGTAAGTCACGCTATGCTAGATATGATAATAATAGCTCGGAGCTATTCATTCAACAGATGTAGTTGCACTATGGGCATTAAACAAATTATAAAAAAATTAAAAATATTTTTGTAAATACATACATAACATATATAGATGACACCCAGAATGATACAAATAATAATACTCGAGGAAACGAACCTGCGACCGGATTTAACGGAATGCGCTAAACCGCTTTAAAAAACCAGGATCGAAAGTTCAAAAAACCAGGACTATCCAGTTTAAAAACAGAACGCAGTAATAGTGTTGCAATATTTATATTAATATGTAGTAAAACTCAAGTAATTAACACAATCAGGTTTATAATAAAAAGTATTTAATAAAATTATACTGTTGAAAATCATAAAATAAGAGGCGCGAATTTTAAAAACCGAGCACGCTGCCAAATAACTATTTAGGACTTCCCAGGACACTCTGAAAACTAGGACATGTCCTGGGAATACAGGAAGCTTAGCAACTCTAGCTAAGAGCTATATCTTGATGATATATGTAGTTAACCAGTCAATATACTATGTATGTCTTAAAATATAGTCATTACATTCAGAAGCCGCTGTAATTGATCGTAAATAAGCAACAAGAATGCAACTACAACAATTAGCAAAGACAGTCACTTCGTACCAGATCTAGTTTATCTCAAGGATAATCTCGGCAAAGTAAGTAATTTCACGATTTAATTTAATAAAGAAAAATGTACACACATTTAAAATATTTAACAAAGAACGTACATTACTTTGCATAATAATATTTCAAGATTTATATTACTAGATAAAGTATTTCAAATAATAATGATTGTAATAATATAAAATAGACGAGGAAAAAGTTAGGACACTTGATAACGCACGATGATTATTATTATTATTGAGGGAAAAATAGAAGGAAAGAGGAGAGAGGAAGACCAAGGAATAGCTCCAAATGGTAGTCGTGTCGTATCAACATTTAAAGAGCATGATGGAAGATCGTGGAAAGTGGTAAGAGCTTCAATCAACAAGAGAGTAATCTTAAATTCTGAATGAAAGAATATAATATACAGAATTAATATAATTAGAATTTACATTAATAAATTATATAACAATAATGCTGCCGTGACAATATAGGCGAGGCAAGCTGACCGTCCAGCTTGTTTGACATTCAAATTAAAATAAAATAAAACGGGTCCCAACCTCGAGCCTTGTGAGATCCCTCATTTCAGTGTTCCAGCGGGAGCACCGCGGCGGCATGTTGAAGCACCATTCATAAGTGCGTATAGACATCGGGGCCCGATACTTCACGCGTTTAGTTATGTTGTATCTGCAATCAGAAATTGGCGTGGAGTTTAATTGTATAGTAAAAAACGACAATATAATATTTAATTTAATAATTGAAGTAGTAAATATACATTCATTGATATAGAAGGTCTTATCTTTAAGCAATCTATTCCAGACTACCTTTGGGTGGATAGAGAAAGTTACGATAAGAAAAGGATAGGTGGGTCACATAATAGATATAAATTTATGTACAATATATATCTATAAATATACATATTGGACGGATAAATATCATAGAGGACGAATGAGGAATTTCCATTTCATCCCCTATTTTAGTTTATCCCCTTCAGGGTAAAACTCGTACAAACTTTGAATATCATATTGATAGTCAAAAGCTTAAAAAATAAGTTTCAAGCTTCTAGCTTTAAAAATGACTATACATCCATAGAACATTTCTTCTCCCCTTTCAACCCCTTACAACCCTTTCTTTGCATTAAAAAGTATCCTATGTCCTTTCTCAGGGTCTAGACTATCTGTATACCAAATTTTATTTAAATCGGTGCAGCAGTTTTGTCTTGAAAGCAAGACAGATAGACAGACAGAGTTACTTTCGCATTTATAATATTAGTAAGGATTAATATTATAAATACGAAATTATGTGAGTATGGATGGCTGTTATTTACTCTTTTACGCTCTTGTTCTTTCAACTCTATATTAAATATTATGAGAAATCTTCGTAATGTGGATCAATGAACGCATTGTACCATGACAGGTTGACCTCCACGCGGTTCCCCCTGAAAAGTATTGAGATAAATTCCTGGTGAATTTGTCACAATGGGCTAACTGACTTTCATGGTCATCTTATTATCTTCCACTATTGCCAGCGTAAACCGTTAGCGCAGGAGTAATAAAAAAAAACTTACGAATGTATATAATACAGGATCACAATAATAAGACATAGACGCCCTCGGTGGTCTAGCGATCTAGCATACCGCCTTACGTCCGATGGTCGCGGGTTCGATTCCTCGCACGGCACACACATTTGTATTCATGAGTATGATTGTTTGTATCGACAAACAATCGTACTCACGAATACAAATATTTGTTGTTTGGGTGTTTTCTATGTATAATATGTATGTATTTACGAAAAATATATAATTATCTATGTACTTGTATCAGTTATCCCGTAACACAAGCTTTAGATAGCTTAACTTGGGACTAGATGGCGCTGTGTGAATTGTACAAAAAAAAAAATAGATCCAAAAGTGTGCTGCCACAAAGAAAGCGACAGATATTACTTTAAATTAAAAAATAAAAACTATTCCATCATGTTCGATTACAAAAAAGATGTACGAGAATTGTTAGCAACTATATTAATAACTAACTACATCTTGCATTGCAACTGTTCTGTCATAATGAAAATGTTTCGTAATAAACACTGCAATGGATATTTGCATCGTGTTATGTGTGATTGTCGTAATTTGCAATGATCTTTCACCCCAAAGAGTTGCATGATTGCTGCTTTTGTTCCAATTTAACTTATATTCGTATATTTAACAGACAATATTATATATTGGGGTTTAGGCTAAGTTACGCTAGTATTTGGAGGCCATCCATATTTTTTTATGTATGATAATAGAATGGTGGACCCGCCAGCGGTGTACTCTGGTGGGGTACCAGTGAGACATTTTTGTTTTAAAGGGGTTTGGACTAAGTTGCGCTAGTATTTGGAGACCATCCATATTTTTTTAGGTATGATAATGGAATGGTGGAGCCTGCGCAAACGGTTTACACTGTCGAGGCACTAATGGAGGATTTTTTAGAAATAGAAATAGAAATAATCTTTATTCAAATAAACTTAATATAAGCACTTTTGAATAGTCAAGTTTTTTTATTTTTTATTCTACAGTTTCATCACAAGAAGAATAAGCAAGAAACTTGTGTGTTGCTCTTTTAAATAAATATTGATTTACTTATATTTAATTAACAACAATGATTAGGCATGCGACAATCAACATAGAAACCGCTACGCACTTAATCTCTGTTCAATCAGATAACATTGTCAGCGCTGTGAATTCTAAGTTAGATATTTTCTACAAAAACATTATTATCATTTATAAATTCTTCAATTTTATAATAAGCTTTTTTACAAAGAAAATATTTTATGACACATTTGAATTTTTTTCTGGCGGATGATGAGATGAGCATAAGGTAAGATCAGTCAGTCCATCGTACTAAATCACAAGAAATTTATCATGATGGTTTCCAGGGGGAATCGCGAGGTCTACCTGACATGGTACTTTGCTATCAATGGGGTGAATAGTACACATTACTAACGATCTCCTTTCCCGTATTACGTGTTACGTATTTAGTGACAAATTTTGTGACAAATTCACTAGGAATTTCATCACCAGGGAGAATGGAGGTCAACCTGACATAATACATTGTTAGCAATAAGGTTATTACCCACAATACTGATAATCAGTTCCTTCCTGCATTTCTCGCTCGTTCTTCTGGTGATAAGTCTTCCTTCCGAATGAATGGTAGAATAAAAAAATATGTGAATTCAAAAGTGCTTTAAGTTTATTTGAATAATGATTATTTCTATACAACGATATAAATGTAAACAATTAGCAGAACTTCTGACATACTTACTTCTGCCCCCTCCGATCGATTCCCGTTCAATTTAAACGGGGTTCGAAATTACAACGACCTGAGCCGAGATTCGAACCCTTAGGCCTCAGACTAAAGACGTATCCGTCAGGCGGGAGTTGCCCTTAAACCGTTCTATAAGTACATCCGCGGGTTTGGAGTGCCATCTGCACTCGCCTCCTATCGTCCAGTGAAGCTCTAAAGGCCAGCTGCGGCCAATAACATTAAGAGTAGTCCGAAAAAAACTTACTTCTGCTTGACCATGCATACGTTGGCTCCATTGAGGCTGACCACTTCCACAAGTACACCGACGGTCACCACCGTTATCACACACCATATCTTTGTCTTTATAGTCCGTGGTAACACTGACACATACATTTTTACCACTTACGCCGATCCATTTTTGATTGCTTCAGTTTCTTGTGTTTATAAACTCATAGTTGAGTGATGTGGGTTTCTGGAATTGATAAAAATATTTAATTACTACAATGTATGAATATTATTTATTTATTTATTTATGTATTGTATTAAATCCGCTGCGTTGTTTAAAAGATATAACCGAACAGAAAGCGGCGCCGACTTCGTTTTATACTATGTAAAGATGGCATCTACACATAACTACTACAATCCATTTTCCGCTCTTGTTTCTCGAATATACATATACACAGTAGTACAATATACATATATTTTTTTCATTTATGTAATATAGTACGGAAATATAAAGTCTCAATTCAGAGCTCTGACTTATACAGAAACATAGGAATTCAAATTTAGAACATTTTTTTCATTGATGTAATATAGTACGGAAATATAAATATCAATTCAGAGCTCTGACTTATACAGAAACATAGGAATTCAAATTTAGAACATTTTTTTCATTGATTTGTAATATATCTAGTACGGAAATATAAAGTATCAATTCAGAGCTATGGCTTATACAGAAATATAGGATTTCAAATTTAGAACATTTTTTTCATTGATGTAATATAGTACGGAAATATAAATATCAATTCAGAGCTCTGACTTATACAGAAACATAGAATTCAAATTTAAACATTTTTTTCATTGATGTAATATTTTTTATTTATTTATATAATTTAATGCACAAAATACCAAGGTAAAAGTACATTAACATACAAGGCATTTTCTAACAGTCAACCATCGGAAATATAAAATATCAATTCAGAGCTATGGCTTATACGGAAACATGATTTTAAATATTCAACATTTTTTTTTATTGATTTGTAAAATAGGGCGGAAATATAAGACAACAAAACTGAGTAAGTAAACATAAGTATACATGTATCTGAAATCAACAAAACTGAGAAGTTCAATATGATACAAGCATCTGAAATTAGAGCAGTAGACACCACGCAGCCGTTATGACAATTAATTCCGACCCCCTATTGAGCCCTCATCCTGTACAGTTGGTTGACCCCACTCCTCATGTGTACGGGAATTGTCATTTTAATTTTATTCTACTACAACTGTACCCGCACTGCGCTCGCGACATCAAATTCAAATTCAAAATATCTTTATTCGTGTAGATGTATGACAGATATATACAGCTCATGACATGTCAAATCTACAGTCAGTTCAGAATGATTTCGAGATAAGAACAACTGACAAGAAACTCAAATCAAAAATCATTTATTTATGTAGGACATTTCATGCCCAAGAACCTCAAATATTTTTTCCCTACCGTCCAGTTCAGTGTACAGATTCAATTGAAAAGAACTGGCAAGAATTTGAACTGATTTTTTTAGAGCCGCAGTCATCAAATCTTACTGATTGATTTAGGGATTTAGGGGTGTTCCTATCGATGTTCTATTTATTCGATGTTCCTACGAGGTATCGATACTGATTTAAATAGTTCTGAATCAGTTTTCGATATTACTCATATACTTAAATACCTTCTTTTAATTCATATTGAACAACAAGTCGAATATTAAACTTTTTTAAATAGGATATATAATAAAAAGGATTTTGTTAAATTCCAGCCCTAAGGGGATAAATTAACGCGAGCGAAGCCGCGGGCAAAAGCTAGTATGTAATAAATCGTAAAGGAATATATATCTAATAACGCTTATATAATAGGAGTGAAATAACTGAAGTAACTAGCGAGTTATAGAGGTGGTTTTTTAATGGATGGAAATGGACTAGGGTTCTCGCCAGCATCAACGGTAAAGGTACTCTAGCGGAGTATCAGCGGAGGATGATAGAATGAGCATGAAGTTAGGTCAGCTAGTCCATCATAGCGAATTTAAGAAGAATTAACACAATACGATAGGTTTCAAAAGAGACATAAATACTATTTTTTTTATCTCTAAGACAAGATTTAATTTTTCAGTGTTAAGAGTTTTTTTGCTATTCTTAAATAGTGTGAGGATGATTCAGGTTATTATGGTGAATTTATAAGGAATTAACACTTCAACAAGTATTAACTACAATACAATAGATTCCAAAAGAGATATAAAAACTATAGTCTTTTATTTTATCAGAGGCAACATTTAAATTATTGGTGTTACCAGTTTTTTAAGATTCTTATAAGTGTTGTCCCATTATTGGAAATTAATGTTAATTACAGATTTTTATAAGTTACACTGAAATATTGTATGGTTCTTTATTTAAAACTTATTAAAACTAAACTTAAAAGGCTTAGAAATCGATAGATATAGGTTTTCCAAGTTTCATAAATTTACATATATTTAATGAAATTACCGACTGATTAATTGCCTTTTCATGAAAAATGTCGTCCTTACTGTGGAAAATTTAAAAACTTTACAGTTCAGCATTTTGAAAGGTAAAAATCATTTAATTTCGATCAAAGACAGCAATGGAAATACTAGTGTAGGTATGTGAATTTTAAAAAGGTATGAAACGAAATAGAATCCTGAAACTAATCGTACTTATAAAAAAATTAACGGTACCTACACTACTACAGCTCGTTTCAAATTCAAAAATCATTTATTCATGTAGGACATTTTAGCCGCTTATGAACGTCAAGTTTTACATTATAATTTTATTTCTTTTTTCTACCGTCCAGTTAGATCCAATTGAGAAGAACTGGCAAGAAACTCAAGTGAATAAATATTTACACCTGGCAACTATGTATTTCAAAAAAAGGAGCCATAATAATGTTTCTAGTTTTTTTTTCAAATTGGGATAACCTGAATCGATTCTATCCGACTGTACTATCTGAGTACTATTGCAACATGGTATGCGCCAGGGATGTCAAAAGCACGAGGATTTTCGCACAAAAGAGTTTTAGACGTCTGCAAAATCTTCATAACACTGCGAGGGCGTGTGTGGGATTCGTACCGACTAACAAACTATACGATGTACCTACGAGCGCTATAGCCAGAGTCACGAGGTGGTACAGCTTTAGCTCGCCCTGTAGATGCTATAAGGCAGGCCTCATCTCGTTGTTAGGGCGACCTATCACTTTACTCAATTGTGGAAGTGAGTAAATTGGCAGGGGGGATAGAGAATTGTTAATAATTTAGACTGATGACCCCTCACTGCTATCGATGGACCATGTCAGATTGAGAATTTGTCACGATGGGTTAACCGACCAGACCTCATGTTCATTTTATCATCCTCCACTACCCTATTATCGTAACCGTTAGAGCAGGCGGGTGCACCATTCCTTTATCATTCATAAGAACCAATTCTCCTTTCGATAGATCCAGGTTGGCAACCCTGGTATGCTTCATTACCATCCATAAGAACCGTATCTCCTTTCAATAGACACAGTTTGGCAACCTTAGTATGCTTTATTACCATCCATAAGAGCCCTCTCTCCTTTCAATAGACACAGTTTGGCAACCTTGGTATGCCTCACTATCATCCATATGAATCGTTTCTCCTTTCAATAGACAGAGCTTGGCAACCCTGGTATGCTTCATTACCATCCATAAGAACCCTCTCTCCTTTCAATAGACACAGTTTGGCAACCTTAGTATTATTATTATTATTTATTATTATTATTTATTTATTATTAATATCACAAAAATTTGCATCACATAACATTCTTACATTTGTAAAATAAAAATAAATACACTTTTATATAAAACTATATACATATGTGTAGTTGGTAATGAACAAGTGCATCTTAATATAATACTACTCATGATTCAGAACGCAACAGTTTACTAAGTACCTACTTATTTACAATATTAACACAAATTCACGTTACATAGGCTTTTTATGCACCTGGGCACCTGCAGCAAATGTTAATATTGAGTTATCATAGGTGGTTTTTAAACGGATATTATATAGAATTTATTTACGCAATATGTATCTATACTTCACAAGGTTTTCACAACACAAGACTATGGAGAATTCATCAGTTAGCACAAAGACAAGTAAATAGTACAAAATTTGTTTTATAATAGATGGATGTAAAAATGGTACTTAGCGGACATTATTATAAAGTGTTATTGTATCTATCCCAAGACTACAATAGACACAATCCTATACGAGTACGTGAAACGAGATTAGCTATAATTATTATGTTAGAATATCATGTAAGACAAATCATTGGTTGTATGCTTCATTACCATCCATAAGAACCCTCTCTCCTTTCAATAGACACAGATGGCAACCTTGGTATGCCTCACTATCATCTATAAGAATCGTTTCTCCTTTCAATAGACACAGTTTGGCAACCTTGGTATGCCTCACTATCATCCATATGAATCGTTTCTCCTTTCAATAGACAGAGCTTGGCAACCCTGGTATGCTTCATTACCACCCATAAGAACCCTCTCTCCTTTCAATAGACACAGTTTGGCAACCTTGGTATGCCTCACTATCATCCATAAGAATCGTTTCTCCTTTCAATAGATACAGTTTGGCAACCCTGGTATGCCTCACTATCATCCATAAGAATCGTTTCTCCTTTCAATAGATACAGTTTGGCAACCCTGGTATGCTTCATTACCATCCATAAGAACCCTCTCTCCTTTCAATAGACACAGTTTGGCAACCTTGGTATGCCTCACTATCATCCATAAGAATCGTTTCTCCTTTCAATAGATACAGTTTGGCAACCCTGGTATGCTTCATTACCATCCATAAGAACCCTCTCTCCTTTCAATAGACACAGTTTGGCAACCTTGGTATGCCTCAATATCATCCATAAGAACCGTGTCTCCTTTCAATAGATACAGTTTGGCAACCCTGGTATGCGCTCAAACGCGAGGAGGGCGTGGTATTTCGCATGCGCGCGCGCACCAATTGCGTGCTGCGACAGGATGCGTCGATTGCCGTCACTGTTTATCAATAGTGCCGACGACCCCTCGACGCAAGTTGACTCCGATTTACAAGCATGAAATGTGGTTTAATGATGGAGTCATTCAGTGGATATAGCAGCTATTATAATTTAATCTGGTTTCCATCATATTTGCACGTTACACACAACTGTTATTTAGCAACAGGAACACTAATTTTAAA